AAAAAAAAAAGACAGAGAAAAGAAAAAACACTTTTTAAAATTTTTGGAATGGATTAAATGATACTTGGTGTTTCATTATCAGTACTTTTGGGGGGGTGGGGGTGGGGATGAAAATTAGCCTGGTAGTATGACCTTGGGCAAGTCTCTTAGCTTCTATGGTCTTTTTTTTTTTGAGTTTTGATCTTTAAGAGGTAGACTGTGGTAAGATCTGATTCATAGGGTTCTTCTAAGAAATCAGTAAGAAATTCATATGAAAGCTTTAGCAGGGTGTATGGCAAATTTGTTTTTAGTAAATGTTAACTGCCTTTGTGGTGTTAGCCTGGTTGAACACAAGTTCAGGATGCAGAGGGATTTCCATGTTTTCTGGGCTGTGGTAAACTAAATGAAGACAGTACCCCTGGAGAGTAAGGTCAGCAGGCCTGAGTCCCCCTTTGCAAGCAGAGGCCCTGGGTGGTGGTGATGTCTGCTAGGTGAGGGGTGTCCACATTTTTGGGACTGAGGCCTTGTTTTCAAAACTTCTTTTTTCTCCCATAAAAACCCCCTGTGTTGCTAAGGGTATGCTTGACCTCTCAGATAATTGCCATAGAAAATACCTGAATTCAGTCCTTGTACCTGAGGGAAACACTGACAAATTGCAAAAATTCCTTGCAGACAGTTGAACCAACTATTTCAGGTTGTTCAGATAAAATGTCACCGAATTTGGAAATCGCTTCCAATCCTTTCTCATAGTGTTTGTGAGGAAACCCATTACATGTGTATGACTTGGTGGTTTCGGGCAATTTCAGTTGTAAAGGATGGTTTCCTTTTTCAGCATTATCAGGACCCGGGGTATGATATGCATTAGTGGAATTATGACTTTGTAAGGAGGAAATCTAGATAAGACTTGTTTGAGAGACCCAAATCTGATATAATCCTAGCATTAGTGTAGCTTGCTTTGAACCACTCAGGTAAAGGCTTTGTCTTGCTGACTTGTTTGGTCATGAAGACGTGCTGTGGGGGCTGTTTCTGGAATATTTTCATTAGCAGGCCCCTGAAAGCTGGGAATTGTGAAGGGAAACGCCCTGCTGGACAATGTTTAAAGTTTTGACTAAGCAAACTTGGGTGGCAGAATGAATTCTTGTTTGATTATACTGTTCCAAATATTAATGCATTGAATCTCATAAGTCCCAAAGGTAGACATTATTATAATCCCTGATTTAAAGTGAGTAAATGGGGTCACGATTCAGTCAGTGGAGAAGCTGGGACCCAAAGGAACCATGCTAACTCCTGGGTCTACACTCCTAACAACTGCATGTGTGGTAGATTTGCCCTCAAATAAATCTCAGCACTCTACACATAGGAGTGGAAAGTAATTACTTCTTTTTAAAGTGAGGGGATAGACTAAATGTAAATGATATAATAAAAGATAAGTGCATTTTTACTTTTTAGGATATCATTCAAACATCACAGATAGTGGCTTGTCTGAGCTTCTGACTAAAATAAGGCATTCATACTCTTTTTTAGTTGCTTTTCTACCATTTAACTTGTATTTCTTTGGAAGATGAAAAGTGCTAAAAAAATCAGCCCAGGGAAAGATGATATATTTCAACTACTTCTGAGCTATTTATTGAGCAGAACTCTGTTAGTGTATTTAAAAGAGAAACCACCCTTTTCATTAGCAATAAAAGTGTATTACTTTGTGTTAAAATGAAGCTTTAAATCTCAAATGTTTCCCTTAACATGTTATGCTTATTCTTAAATTCTTATAGATGAGAACAAATTAATAAGATATTCGTGTTAGATAATTACAAATGTTTTAGAATTTAACAAACATCTGTTGAGGACTTAACATATGCAAGACATCATATAAAGAGCCCTGAGAGGTTTAAAAAAAAAAAAAAACTAATTGAAAATAAGGCCTCTGCCCTGAAGGATTTTCTTTACTAATAGAGGCGGTTATGCCAACAGGTAAATATATGATAACAAAATGTTGTCAGGAGGGGCTTCAAGAGGAATAATCTCCTGGCTGGAAATCAAGGAAGGTTTCATGAAGGAAGCAGGATTTAGATCCCAGTTCATGAGGACAGACTCTGTATCCCTTGTTTTGGTACCCCAGTTCTTAGCACAGTATCTGACACAGAATAGAAGCTTAGTTCAATGGTTTTTAATTAAATGAATAAGTTGAAGCTAGAGGAGAAGTAGAAACAGTGATGAGAAAGGAAAGCCTCAACCTGACCCCATGAAGCAAGTGTCCATTGTCCCTTTTCTCTGGGCCAGGCCTCAAGCCGGGTGGGAAGAGCAACAAACACAAAGCTGGGCAGCAGGCAAGCTCAGGGTGCAAAGTCCATCTGAATGGGCAGAACTGGGTGTGGAAAGGAGTGGGAGATAAGAGAGTGGAGAGCAGCATTGGAAAGCTCTTGAATGCTTAGGAGTTTGAGGAGAAAGATCCCCAAATATTGTCTGCATGTTTTACGTCAATTAAGCAAATATTGGTTAATAGCTGATCATGTGCATTTTATTAATATTAACAAAAACCAGTTAGACTTAAGAATGCCAATTTATTCATTTGTATATATATATTTCATCTAGCAATATGCTAGAACCTAGGGTTGTTATTTGTTTCTATGTGTTTCCAAACCAAATAGGTAGCCTAAATCTATTGAAAACTGTCTCGTCGTGTTTAACTATGAGTTCATTCTAAAATGATGCTTGGACATTTCAACCAAATGAGTTCTGTGGCAAACACTAATTTTTATTTTTTTAATTTTCAATTTTTTTCCTGCCCTGAGATTATATATATGTATATATGTAAATAAATCAGTGTAAGGCATATAGATATACAAATGTGAGGCATATATATATATTTATTTTAGAGTTGTGGGGTACAAGTGGGAATTTTCTAAATAAGGAGGCAATGTGCAGGTGAAGTTTGGGCTTCTAACTGGCCCTCTCACCCCCAAAAGTGGACCAGGTACCCAGTGTGTGGCCTCGTGTCCCCTCCGTCTTTCTTCTCTGTCCTAGCAGTGTGCAATATCTGCCAGTCCCACCCTTGTACTAGCGTGACTAGTGCTCAGGGCCCACTTAGCAAACATCAGTTTTTAAACATTCAAGGAGTTTGTAAATCTCAGAGTCCTGAAAGATTTTAATCCTAGCTTTTCCTTAAAATAGCTATGGGGCCTCAGGGAAAGTTGTTTAATTTATATAGCATATACGCATTAATAGATATATGTCTATGCCTACATCTACGTCTATGTAGATATTGCACAATGTAGGGTACACTAGAAAGAGTTGAAAGAGGCTTTGAACTTTGGACTCGACAGATCTGGTTGGACCAAGGCGGTGCCACTTCCTAGATGTGTGTCTTTAGGAAAATTGCTCGACTTTGAACTTCAATTTCCTCATCTATAAAATGAGAAGAACAATTCCCTACTCGTTGCATCTGTGAGAAAATTATAGGAGCACACACTTATTATTAAGCAATTATTACGTATTTTCCATATGAGGAAACTGAGGCACAGGGAGGTGAAGTAGCACATGCATGGCCACACAGCTAGTCAAAGGCTGAGATGTACCACTCTGGTGTTTTGTTTTACTTTGATCACGAAAAGTTATCACCAAAACATCAAGACTTCTCCACGCATCTGCCCCCAAGGTGATGCTTAATAAATACTTGTTTCTTTCTTTATCTTCCAGAACATTGGTGAGGCTAAAATGGGGTAGCATTTTTACCTTTTTAAAAGCTCAAATACAGGCTGTCAAAATGTAAGGCATTTAAATTTTTCAGGGTCAAAAGTTTGAGAGTAATTAAAATGTTAATGAACATTTTTCTCTGCTGGTGATATATGTTAATATAGAAAAACTAAACAATAAAGAAAAAGATGAAGAAGTAAACCAGAGCACTTATAGTTCCTAGAGATAATAAAGTGATTAGAGTTTTAATGAAATGCACACATTTTTTATTTCCTTGGTGTTTTTGTTCGTTTTTTTTTTTTTTTTGGCAACCCAATACTGTGATAGGCAGCATCCCTGCTTTCCAGGCTATGTGGAAAATATATCTCACATCTTAAAATAAGTTAGTCATGACATATCTCAGGGTGAAGGTTGTGATTTTTGTGAAATGTGAATTCTTTTTTTTTTGAGTTGGAGTCTCACTGTCGCCCAGCCTGGAGTGCAGTGGCTGCTCCCAGCCACCGCAGCCTCGACCTGCTGGACTCCGGCGATCCTTCCGCCTCAGCCTTCTGAGTAGCCGGAATTACAGGCATGCGCTACCACACCTGGCTGATTTTTTTTTTTTTTATTGTAGAGACCAGGTCTCGCCAAGTTGCCCAGGCGGGTCTCGAACCCGCCGGCTCAGGCGCGGGATTACAGGCTGAGCCACCGAGCCTGGCTGAAATGTGAATTCTTAAGAAAGAAAGAAAAAATAATAATGAATAGAAGAGAAGATAAAGAGAGTCTGGGTTCATTTTTGGTCTCTTTGGGAGTACTAAGAAGTACCTTTTTTCTTAGATGTATTTCACAGGTAATAACAATATTTAGAAGACCAAAGAGACAACTGGTGAGGTCTTTGAGTAAAGGGTCTTTGAGGTCTTGAGTAAAGCATTCCTTGTTCTTTTCCACTTGAGGATTCTCATACATTAACAGTTCTGAATCAGAATCGCAAATATTTTTTAACTAGTTATCTGGGCGTTTGCCCAGGTATTTTCCCAATCCATATACTAAGAGTGAAAATGACACTGCCTATCATTTAAGACTCTTAAATGGAAAAGACCACAATAGTGTGAAGCAGTTAAAAAAATGGAATTACCACAGCATGTTTCAAGATATTGACTTGTGCATTGCTGTGGATGAGGTATCATGAAGCTACTGGAAGATGGGGCTCTGTGACAGAGGAGAGGTTGACCTTTAGGGGTCACTTTTTACTAGGTTTATAACCGAATATTGTCCAATGCTTCTTCCTGACTGGAAAGATATGATTTCAACAGACTGATAATTAACCACTTTTCTCTCTGGTTTATTTACAGGAGTTTGAAGAATACCATGATGTCTCAAGCCCATCTTCACTCCTTGTGTCTTCTTATACTTTATTTGGTAAGAGAAGAGGGCATTCTTCTCTATTTATTTCCCAGAATATTTTCTGCCATCCTTCTACCCCATACCAGGAAAAGAGTGATTATCATTACTCAAAAAAAAGGTAGCTTATTCAGATTAAATTTTGTGTAGGACAGATACACATTTTGTCCTCATGCAATATTTTTAGGGAAATGGCTCCACATCACGTGTCTGTGCTTCAACTAGGGGATGTGCTACTTTCCCCTCAGCTCCTAAAAGTTAATAGCATTTAATGCGCAAGGTTAAAGCAAATCTGTCTGTTCATGTACAGCTCAGGGAATATGGAAATAAGTTATACTGATATCTGTATGTATTAGTCTGTGTCCCTTAATCTTGACTTTTTTTTTTTTTTTTTACTTTGATCATGAAGTTACCACCAAAACATCAAGGAAAACCTTTCCTCTATTTTCTTCTCATAAATGGATTTGCCATTTTCTGGTCACACTTGTTGTTAGCTATGTCTTGAGTTAGCCTTATTGACTGACAGGTTTCTGGAGCTTGGAGTTAGATGGGAACTTGAGAGTCCTAGCCCTCAAGTGGGGTGCCATCCTTGTTTTATCCATGAATCTCCTGAGGTTCATGAAGCTTGCCCCCAAATTTGTTGTGTTATCAAGCAAGAGCTCACACAGTTCAAAATATTTACAGAGTAAAATAGAATTAAACTTGTAAAGCTGTCAGAGACTTCTTGCCGTGGGAAAACTGCACGCCTGATTTTATGAACATGTGTCCTCACAGCCCAGGGGCTCAAGCTTGAACCCAGACTGTATAAAGACATTTGACCTCTCTCCTCATCCTACTCTCTCAAATGTCCTTTGCTACCTACATTATCCTAATGTGGTGGTGAAGCCAGATCTGGTTTCAAACTTGCTGTTGCCACTTACCAGTGATAGGAGCTTAGTAAGTTATCTAAGCTTTGAACTTCAGTTTCTGCCCTGTAAAATGGGTCTAATAGTAGTATTTGTCTTATGGAATGTGGCGATTAAATGAAATAGTGCATGTATAAAGCTCTTGGACAGTGATTGGAACAGTCTAAGCACTCAGTAAATATTATCTATTATTACTACAACATTTTAAATATTCCATAACTACATCCATATGACCCTAACCTCCATGAAGAAGGGACTGTGTTTAGTCATCTTTGCAGATTCAGCACCGAGCAGACTGCCAGAAACAGGGGTGAAATAAAACATGTGATTATGGACTTATACTAGGAAACAGCAAGATCTAAGAAAGAAAGTGAGAAAGAAGGCTCTATCACAATACTTGATATTAGTGGGCTCGTTTTTTTCTTGTCTGAGAAGGCACATGCATTTTTCTTCCTGGATGAAATGTGAAAGCAGTTTCCTTTCTCTACTCTCACCCTAGTGGGATTTCTACCTAGAGTGAGAAATACTGCCCAACCACTGCTATCAGCAGCACCTCACCCAGGAGACAGCCACAAGCACAGCAGTCTCTGGGTGAAGCCAGGGAGGGGGATTTTAGGGGTATTGGGATAGAATCACTTCTCTCTTCTGTCTCCACCTACCCTCTACTCCCAAATCCTCTTCTATGAAGACTGGAGGTATACTGGGAACTTCTTGCCTTCCATATAAGGCTTTATTCAGTAAAGGTACTAATTTAGAACAATTGTCAGTTATTTATTCTGTGCTGTGAGTGGTTCTTCCCTTTTTTCCCAAGAGTTTTCTTAAGAGGGCAGGAAATACAGTATAGATGTATTTCCAGGGTTCAGAGGAGAGAGCGAGTAAGTGATTCGGAGTTCAAAAAAAGGTGCTGAATGGGGGAGGCAGGGAAACCAAGGAGGAGCCACCTATTTTAGAGTTTTGCAAGATGGCAGGTGCTGCTTCCTCCACCTCCTGCATAAACCCACTCTCTTGTCCCTTTACAAGTCTCTGCCACACTAACCTTCCCAGTACTGGGGATATGGCTTGATGACTCATAGTTACACATGAACTTTGAAATTTTTATAGTCCCAATGACCATGTTAATGGGCACGAAGAAAGAGATTCATTGCCTTGATATGAGGACCCAGCTTTGAACCCTGGAACTGATTCTCCCTGGAACCTGATTCTTCTCTCCTGATGGGTGGGCCAACTTGTCTGTGTAGGCAAAGCACAGCCTTGTTTGTAAGGTTTGCCTGGTGAATGTAGTTTGTGGACACTGGTATGACTAGCTGAAAGGCTGATGGCTTGCTGATATGAGTGCAAAGTAGTTTGCTACTAAGCAGTAGCTCCACAAAAGGCACTACCCTTACTTGCACCAAACATGGTGGCACCTGGACATCTGTATCCAATTCTTGTGCCCAGCCTTCCAGAGGAGTTAATGAAGGTGGAGAAGATGTGGGGAGAAGAGTGGAAGGAAAGAAGAGCTCCCAAGGAAGATAAACTTAGAAAGGAGGAGACGGGATAGAATCTGGTAAAATTACTTTTTGAATTTAGCATTTAGCTACAAGTAATGGGAAATTTGACTTCAGAGCATTTTACATAAATAAGGATTTATTTTTCTCAGATAACCAGAAGCCTGAAATGGGCAATCTAGGGCATATTTAGCAGTTCTGTGATGTTATCAGGGACTTGGGCTTCTATTTGCTCCACCATCTTTTGAGTTGGTTTGTTATCTCATGATTCCTGATAGCCAGCCACCCCGGACACAAACGCGACACAAGGTCCATTGTCTCAGCAAGAACCATGGGGAAGGGCAATGCCAGCAACAGCTGTCCTTTTTAAATTAGGAAAACAATAGCTTGATCTGACTCCCCCATATCCCCACCCCATCCAGCAGACTTCCCCTCTTGTTTCATGCTCCAGAACTGGGTCACTTGGCTATCTTCTAGGCAGCAAGGGAGTCTGGGAAAGAAACCACTTGACTTCCCAACCTCTGTGGTATAAGGCAGCAAAAGAGAGAGGCTAGCAGTGGCCTGGGGGCAACTAATCCAAGGACTTGCCACACCTTTAAGGGAGAGAACACCCGATTTCAAAGCCCCCTGTATCCTCATTAGTATTGCTCTTTTACCAGACATCCAGTATCAACTTTGTCAAGGTTCACCAAAGTGAGGGATATAGTGTAGGACCTTTCCCCTGATCCCTGGCATACTGATTGTTTTAGGTTATTACCAGCAGGCAGCAGTTTTCATGGCAAGAGCATACTCGCTCTCCCTAAAGAAGTGGAAAGCAAATTGTTTCCCCACCTCCACCAAGTTCTTTTAACTCTTTGGTTTTCCTTGTCCAGTTCCAAATAGCATCAACTTGCCCTAACACACTCCTGCTTCTAACTTATTCCATCCCTGCTTTCCAACACTAATGGGAGACCCAAAGAACCACCCATGAAGGAGGTGGCTGACTAAATTCCTGGTCCTAGGAGGAGTCCCTAAGTGCGTGTATGACCAGCTGTCCCTTCTTGTGTGCTTCACTCTGATTCGTGTCTGTCTTCAGAGGTGCCATCATGGTGAGGACCACGTGATGTTCCCCATTCTCTGGGGTTGGGAATAATGGGAGTCACACCCTTGTGCACATACCCAGTGTATCTAGCTTTCCCTCCAGGTTGTCCTGGCTGTTTCTGTTCTCTCTAGGAATACTGATGGGTAGTGACTGAGAGGGTTGGTTCAGGGTCAGAGGTTCAAATCCTGCTTCCAGCCTACGTGGGCAGATTCCTTAATCTCTCTGCATCTCAGTCTCATTACCTGTAAAACAGGGCTAACAATAGTAATTTACTACCATAGGGTTGTTGTCAGGATTAACTGTGCATAGGAGAGGACTCCCATGCACTAACTCAGCAAGTGTGAACCATTCTTACCCTCCCAGCTGCACTTACTACTATCCCAGCCTGGGTGTGGCTGTCTGCAGAGGCTGTTTGACTTTCAAGTTTAGGGTCTTTATATTTTAGAACCATTATGGGGCTACTGTTTGAAGTAAACATTTTATGTTTTTTAGTATTTTTTTTTTTAAATGAATGTAAAGAACAAATCAAATGTTAAAATAGTAAGCTTTTGTTAAAGTTACAGTTCAAATTCAGATTCAAATTTGACTAAAATTTACCATGTAACTATGAGTTGTAGAAGCATTGTACCAAACACGTCTGCATATTCTTGTCTCTCTCTTATACATTTCAATTGTCCTTGAGGTGACTGTGACACTCCAGAGTGTTGGAATCTGCCATAAATATCTTTATAAAATAATCAGAGTAGAGGGAGGTGTTTCATGAATCTTGTGTAAACCATGTAGAATTTAGAATACAGAGTGAGCCTGTGGGAGACCATGAACTTTTGCCCAGTCAGACCTGCAGGTGTGCTGTGTTAAGCTTTGTGATGTGTTTAAGCTTTGTTTGTAATATGAGGATGTTAATATTCTTTTCCCAGGGCGATTGCTCAGATAGTCAAATAAGAAAAGCAAAGCAAAGCTCACAGCAAGCTACTTTGACCTGTAGAGCCTCAACCAATGTTAGACCCCTTTCTGTCTGTTTTGATCAGATTTCATGTTTTTAGCCATGATAGAATCCTATGTTTCATATATCAATTCTGAAAGCCCTAATAAAATTAACAGGTGACATATATTCATAATAGATGCTAATTTTCTCTCTGTCTTTGTTAACAGACAACTGGATACAGCCGAGAGGGGAAGTTTAGTGGACCCCTGAAGCCCATGACATTTTCTGTTTTTGAAGGCCAAGATCAGAATCAAATCATATTCCAGGTAAGGGCTCCCCTTGATCACTGTCCTCTTGATTTTGTATGCTCTCTTGGTGGACTTTTACTTCCTTTTCTCCTGTGCATAGGGAGATAAAATAGAGGCATGGCAATCTCATTATTATTTCAGAAGCGAAGTTAAACAGAGAGATGAGTGGCCTCAGGGTCGTAAGAGTTGTACCTGCATTCTGATTTCTCAATCATCTCTGGGGCAAGTGCTTCACCCCCACCATAGGGAGTTTGGTCCCTGTGGCTCTGCCCTGGAGTTGAAAGGGAACCCGGCTCTGGAGAGGAAATGGCCATGTGATCATCAGGGCTGGCTGTCCAGTGAGCCTGATGCTTGAAGTGTTTGAAGATGTGACCTCTTTGGAATCAGCACTGGAATGGCCTCTGTCTGCCTTCTCCTCACTGTTTCTTCTCAGCTTCAGCTGGGACCATTGCCAAGTCACACTTATGTAAAACAGTATTTAGCTAGATAACTGTGAAAAGCATCAGGGCATCACAATGAGGGGTGGCCTGCTGGTGGGTGTGAGGGAAGAGACTTCAGCTTTTAAATAATAATCCAGGATATGTAATGGAGAAGGAGAGCAGACAACCAGTTGGCCCCAGAGTTGTTGGAGGATGCTTTGATGAGCCTCTGGGAGGTGCCCATGGCTCCTCCCCACCCTATACACTAGGGAGGCAGCAGAGAGTTGTTAAACTACTTTCTAGAGATGATTTAAAGTGCACAGGAGGATGTGTGTAGGTTACATGGCAATATCACACCATTTTACATAAGGACCCGTGCATTTCGGTATCTATGGGAGTCTTGGAACAACGCCCTGCAGATACCAAGGGACAACAGTATTGTTCTAGACAGTTCGCCTCAAAGGAAAGGCTGAACAATGTCTCATCCCCCCCCCTTTTCTTTTCTTTCTTTTCCCCTCCCTCCCTCTCTTCTTTCTCCTTCCCTCCCTCTTTCCCTTCTCTTCCCCTTTCTTCCTTCCTTCTTTCCTATCTCTTTCACTCTTTCTTTTCAGACAAAGTCTCACTCTGTGGCCCAGGCTGTAGCTCAGTGGTGCAATCATAGCTCACTGCAACCTTGAACTCCTATGCTCAAGCAATCCTCCCACCTCAGTCTTTGAGTATCTGAGACTACAGGTGTGTGCTACCACGTACAACTAATTTTTTTATTTTTTGTAGAAACGGGGGCTCGCCAAGTTGCCAAGGGCTGTTCTCGAACCCGTGGGCTCAGGCAATCCACTCACCTCAGCCTCCCAAAATGCTGGGATTACAGGCTGGGTCACCAAACCCTGCCTTTTCTTTTATGTGATACCAGATTAGTGTAAAGGGCCTCAGAGTATGAGCTGGCTGGGGTGTGCACACAACCCTGCCATATAGGGTATTATAAGGGGCCTTGACCCCTCCAGTTAAGGAAGTAAGGTACTCAGGAAGCAGTGACTATGTTGAGACACGGACAGGAATTAACTTGGTGAAGAAGAGAGGAAAGAGAATTCAGCAAAGGCACAGCAGGGACAGCTGCTCTGTGCTGAGAGAGGGTGGGGCACGTAGAGAGGCCTGGCAGAAGGCCATGAGGCTGCTGAGGACTGAGCCAGGAAGAGAGGGTGGGGAGAGGAGGCTGCAGAGACAGGAAGGGCCCTGACCCCTAAGGTGCTTAGGTTTTCTCCCAGAAGCAATGGATCTGAATCAAGTCTCCATGGAGAAAAAACTACTGGCTACAAACTGAAGGAGGAAAGGGAGGACACAAGGAACTGGTTAGGCGTCTATAACAGACTCACAAAAAATTTAAATTCCTCCTTTACTTACTTTCTCTGCCCTGCCAGGGAGTACTTGATGGTGGATTCTCTGATGTTTTTTATTCCTTTCACTTGTGTACTATACTTCACAAGCTGATAAGAACATCATGTGCTAGGCACATCTTCATTTTATTTTATTAACCATGTATGGAGTGATCCTTGTCTTGTTCCTGATATTATGGGGGAAGCTTTCAATCTTTTACCATTAAGTATTATGTTAGCTGTGGGATTTTCTTAGATGTCCTTTATCAGGTTGAAAAGTTACCTTCTATTCTTAGTGTGTTGAGTATTTTTATCAGGACAGGATATTGGATATTCTTCTAGTTTTTGGAATAATTTGTGAAGGTTTGTTGTTAATTCTTCTTTACATGTTAGGTGGAATTCACCAGTGAAGCCATCTGGTTCTGGGATTTTCTTTGTGGAAATTTTTTGATTACTAATTCAATCTCTTTATTTGTTATAGTTGTATTCAAATTTTCTATGTATTTTTGAGTCAGCTTTAATTGTTTTTGTATGTCTAGAAATTTATCCGTTTCACCTAGAAAACAATTGCTCACAATATTCTCTTTATTTCTGCAGTATTTGTAGTGATGTGCCCTTTTTACATTCCTGATTCTAGTATTTGAATATTGCCTCATTTTTCTTGGTCAGTCCAGCCAAAAATGTATTACTTTTGTTATCTTTTAAAATTACCAACTTTGTTTTTGATAATTTTCTCCTTTGCCTTTATAGTCTCAGTTTCATTAATTTCCTTTCTGATCTTTATTATTTTCTTGCTTTGGGGTTATTCTTCTTTTTCTAGTTTCTTAAAGTATATTAGGTTGTTGCTTTGAGATATTTGTTTTTTTAAATATAATCACTTCCCTCTGAGTACTGCTTTATCTTCATCCACAGGGTTTGATATGCTATGTTGGTTTTTATTTTCATTTATCTCAAGGTATTTTCTTTTCCTTTTTTTGAGTAGAAGTGTCACTCTGTCACCCAGGCTGGAGTGTTATGGCATACTAATAGCCACCGCAATCTCAATCTGCTGGACTCAGGTGATCCTTCCGCCTCAGCCTTTCAAGTAGCTGGAACTACAGGTGTGTACCACCACACCTGGCTAATTTTTTGAAGATTTGTTGTAGAGATGAGGTCTCGTCAAGTTGCCCAGGCTTGTCTCGAACTCCTGGGCTCAGGCAATCCTCTCACCTCCACCTCCGTAAGTGCTGGGTTTATAGACGTGAGCCACCATGCCCAACTATCTCAAAGTATTTTTCTAAGTTCTCTGTTGATTTCTTCTTTGATCTGTTGTTTATTAGAGTATGTTAGTATTTCCACATATTTGTGATTTTCCCAAATTTCCTTTTATTATTGATTTTTAATTTTATTCCATTGTGGAGTACTTTGTATGACTTCAACCTTTTTAAACTTATTGAGTCTTATTTATGGCCTAACGTATGATCTATCCTAGAGAATGTTCCATGTGATTGGCTTTTGTTAGAGGCAGTGTTCTTTAGATGTCTGATAGCATCTAGATGACTTATAGTGTTGCCTTCTATTTCCTTACTGATTTTCTACTTGTTCTATGCATTATTGAAAGTGAAGTCTTAAAATCTTCAACTATTACTGTTGAATTGCATATTTTCCCTTCAATTCTGTCAGTCTTTCCTTCATACATTTTGACGTCAGTTAAGCACAAGTATGATATATATATATATATATATATATATACGTGCTGTATATATATCATTGTTATGACTTCTTGATGGAGTGACCCTTATATCATTATACAATATCCTTTTTTGTCTCCATAAATTTTATCTTAAAGTATGTTTTATCTAGTAGTAATATAGCTTAATTTCATCCTCATTTTGAAGGGTAGTTTTGTTGGATTTATAATTCTTACTTGGCACTCTTTTCTTTTCTTTTCTTTTCTTCCACACTTAGTCAATGCTTGAGTGGCCCAAGTACCTTTGTGTGTCTTGAAATAATTTTGCCATTCCTTAAGCAGAATGTATTAAGTACATATTATATATTTGCCATGTGTGGCAGGCTGGGTATAGTATGGCTAGAGTCACAGGGGCTGAAGGTATTCATCAAGACAGTTATGAATTAAGAAACATAGATTTACTAAAGAGAAGATACATTGTGAAGGACACAGTGGGCAAGACAGCAGCCAGAGTGTCTGCTGTCAGCTGCCGGCACTCTGTCATTCAGCACTTTGTGTCATTTCAGTGCCTTCTGACCTCCATGAAAAGTCAGCTGTTAATATTATTGAGGCTCCTTTGTATGTGATATGTCTATCCATTTTCAAGATTCTTCCTGCTGCTTTCAAGATTCTCTCTTTATCTTTCAAATGTTTGATTATCAGACCTGGCTCAGTGGCTCAGCCTGTAATCCCAGCACTTTGGGAGGCCGAGGCGAGAGGACCACCTGGGCAACTTGGCGAGACCTCATCTCTACAATAAATAAAAAATTAGCTGGGCATGGTAGCGCACGCCTGTAGTTCCGACTACTTGGAAGGCTGAGGCGGAAGGATTGCTGAAGCCTAGCAGATGAAGGCTGCGGTGGCTGGGAGTGTGCCACTGCCCTCCAGCCTGGGTGGCAGAGTGAGACTCTAACTCAGGGGAAAAAAAGTTTGATTATCATGTGTCCAGGTTTGGATTTCTTTGAATTTATTCTATTTGGAGTTCACTGAACTTGTTGGATCTATAGATTAGTGTTTTTCTTAAATTTGGGAAGTTTTTAGTCATTCTGTCTTCAAATAATCTCTCTTCCCCTTTTACTTTTTCTTTCTTTCTGGGATTTTTGTTATGCATGTGTTTTTTTGCTTGATGGTGTTTCACTGGTCTCTGGCTCTGTTAATTTTTATTCTTTTTTATTTCTGTATTTTAGGGTGAGTAATCTCAATTGATCTATTTTCAGGTTTGATGATTCCTTTTTCTGCTAGCTCAAATCTGATTTTAAAAGAGCCCCTTCTAATGAATTTTTCAATTCAGTTATTGTATTTGTCAACTCCAGAAGTTCTATTTTTATAATAAAATTTATATGTCTTTATTGATAGTCTCTATTTGGTAAGACATTGTTCTTATACTTTTATTTAGATTTTAGAGATGATTTTCTTTAGTTTTTGAACCTATCTAAAATAGATTATTTAAAATCTTTAATTGATAAATCCAACATGTGGCCTTTCTCAGGGACAGTTTCTATTGACTATTTCTCCCCTCCCCCCCATGTATGGGACTTACTTTCTTATTTATTTGTGTGCCTCCTAATAATTTGCTGAAAATAAAACATTTTAAATAACATAATGTGGCAACTCTATAAATCATCTTTCTTTTCTTGGAGTTTGTTGTTGTTGCTGTTTGTTAGGTGGCTTTTTGAACTAATTCTGTGAATTCTGTATTCTTTGTCATGTCTGGTCACTGGAGTCTCTGCTCAGTTAGCTTAGGGTTCAGATAATGACTAGACAGAGATTTCCTTGAATGCCTTAAACCAATAAGTCTCCTGGCCTTCACCAAGACACTTTGTGTGCATGTTGAGGCACACCTTCAACAGTGTAGCAGGCAGCTTGCAACTCTGTCCTAGCCTTCATTTCCTGCTCAGCAGAGCCTCCAGGTCAGCCAGGAGTGAGAGATTTGGGCTTTCTCAAACTTTCCCAGGCATGTACACAGCACTGCTCATGAATTTGGCTTTCTAGATTGCTAAAAATATAGCAGAGATTTTCGCAGCCCCCCACAGACAACTCATTCCTTGATTTTTTTTTTTTTTTTTTTTTTGAGTTGGAGTCTCACTCTGTTGCCCAGACTGGAGTGCAGTGGCTGTTCCTGGCCACTGCAGCCTCGACCTGCTGGGCTCCAGCGATCCTTCCGAGTAGCCGGAATTACAGGCACGCGCTACCACACCCAGCTGATTTTTTTTGTTTATTGCAGAGATGAGGTCTCGCCAAGTTGCCCAGGTGGGTCTTGAACCCGCGGGTTCAGGCAATCCACTCACCTCAGCCTCCCAAAGTGCAGGATTACAGGCTGAGCCACCGAGCCTGGCTGACTTATTTTTTTTTTTAAGTGTTTTGGTCAGCTAACTTTCTTCAAATATTATCACTGCCTCAGGCAGCTGTAATATTAAACAAATGTCTCAGAAGAAAAATTGTAGTGACTTCTGAGTCTGGTCAAATAAAGTCAAGCCCAGCAAGTAGGTATTCCCAGGGAACTGCCAGAGAGGTCAAATGATGATAGTTCTTTGGTGTTGGGGCTTTTGGGAAATTTCAAACCCTTCTTATCTCCACTGTGGTGCTGTGCTTGTGAGGCTGTTGGTTTTCAATGCTTCCTTCCTTCCTTCTTTCCTTCCTTCCTTTTGTGTCAGAGTCTCACTCTGTTATTCATGCTGGAGTGCAAAGCACGATCACAGCTCACTGCACCTTGACCTCCTGGGCTCAGGTGACCCTTCTACCTCAGCCTTCCAAGTAGCTGGGACTACAGGTGTACTACTTATAAATAATACTTATACTGCAGCCATGTAGCTTATTGTTTAAAAAAATTTCCTTAGGATAAATTCTGCACAGTAATGGTTGCTATCAAAGGCTACAAACATTTTATGCCTCAAGTTATTTCCAAAAGGATTATATAAATTTGTATTTTCATCAACAATAAGTGTGTTTCCTTATATCCTTAACATTGACATTATGGTAATTTGTTAAAAAATATGTTAAACTTAATGAAGTTGAAAAACTTTTATGTCTTCTTAGTTTTATGTGAATTGTCTATTATTGTGATTTTTAAAAGTGCTATGGTTACGTAGTCCATGAATATAGTGGTATATTTTCTTTATTCCTGAAATAGTAATAAAGAGTTTATCACATAGCATTATATCAAGTTGAAACCACTTGTAAGTTGTTTTCCTTGATATTAACATGTCTATTAATTTTTGTTATAATTTTAGAAGTACTAAATGACAATTTTTTATTCTAGCAATAAAAATGCCCTTTAAAAATTTTTTTACAAGCTCGCTTTACAACATTACAGCATTAACTTTCAGATATACCCTGGAAAATGTCTTTTAACCTTATCTACAATTTAAGATATCAGTGACTTTGTTAATGTAACGAATTTGCTTATACATTGTTTCTTGAGGAAAATGTGGTTTGAATGTTACATAGTTAATGTGCAAGCAAACTTTTAGAATGTACCACTGTAAAAGCTAGGAATTTCTTATTCAGTGATTGCACACATGAAAACTTTACCTGAAATCGATGACTTTCTACAAACTACACACCATTTTTTCCCTTATAAACTAATCTATTTTTGCCTTTTCCCAGTTTACGGCCAATCCTCCTGCTGTGACTTTTGAACTAACTGGAGAGACAGAAGGCATATTTCAGATAGAACCAAATGGATATCTACATCTCATCAAAGCCCTGGACAGGGAAACAAAATCTGTTCACAACTTCCAGGTGAGTTAATACCAGGTGAAGAAATCTAACTCCAACTCTTTTGGGCATCCTTTGTACTGGAAGTATTACTGGCACCCTCACCCCTTGCATAGAATCTGGTTAAGCTCTCCTAACGTTAATGGCATGCTTTGTGAACCTCATATGTCCATTTTTTTTTTTTTTACCAGCTATAGAGGGACATGGCAAAGGTACCCCCCTTTTTAGGCTGTTTAACCAGGGTAACCCAATTTACATTGCCAGGACCTGCAGATGGCATTGCTCATTCAAGTAAGGCCGTGCTCAGGGCACCTGGATCAAAACCAAGCCAACACTCCTCTGATACTTCACTGGTATTTGTCTGTGGCTATTGTGTGGGCCTGGGACCCACAAAGCAGCAACTTCAGTGCTGGGATGGAGCTCCTTTGGGCCTTGGAAGTAGCAGACAGAAACAATGGCCAGAGACTTACTAAAAAGACCCTTCTCCCTTTCTTTCCCCACTTAGTTTCACAGTTGGTATCTGAATACCTAGGTATGGCAGAGAGCTAACTGTGAAAAGAAGAGCAAGCCAAAAACTCTCTGTCTGGTACTTCTGCTACAGGCCCTGCGGGCTGACCGCCATAATGGCTCTGCAAGAAGACATGGTGCTTCTATAACCTTAATGGTCAAAGTGCTCTCCTTTCATGAAATCCAGCCATTCAGGACAGAGCGTGCCTGGCGTCCAGAACACCCTGCTGCTGGAAAGTGATTGTTCTGACTAGCCAGGCTTAACTGATAAGGCCCTTTTATTTTTGCAGCTCCCAATTTGGACTTTTTTGGGTTTTTTCTCTCCTATAGTCACCAGGTCACTGGTTCTTTAAGGTCTAATTTTCTTCAAATGACTTCTGGGCATGTGATATGAAGTCCAGTCTCACCAAGGTGGTTTCCTTTTCCTCAACATCAGGTTTTAGCCCTGGATGCTCAAGGAGCGATAGTGGAGGGCCCGGTCCCCATCACCATAGAAGTGAAGGACATCAACGACAATCGGCCCATGTTTCACCAGTTCAAGTATCAAGGCACAGTGAGGCAGAACTCTCGCCCAGGTAACAGGCAGGAGCCTGGAGATATTTATGGAAAAATGGAAAGGTGTCGGTCAGAAGGGGCAGATTTGTGTGGCTAGCAGTGGCAGCTATCACCCATTAAGCATTTAGTATTTTATTTAAATTTCACACTGATCCTCTGCAAGTTGTTTTATTATCCCTATTGCTTCAGAGCACAGTTTCTCACCCTTGGCACTATGTATTGACATCTGGGGCCTGATCATTCTTTTTTTTTTTTTTTTTTTTAATCAAGGGCCATTCTGTGCATTTTGGGATGCTCAACAGTATGCCTGATCTCCATCCACTAGATGCCAGTAATAACACCCCCCTCCACCAAGTTGTGACAATGAAAATGTCTGCAGACATTGTCAAATGTCCTCTAGCGGGCAAAATAATAGTAATAACACCCCCTCCACCAAGTTGTGACAATAAAAATGTCTGCAGACATTGTCAAATGTCCTCTAGAGGGCAAAATCACCCCCAGTTGAGAAGCACTTTTGTAGAGTGAGCTGTAAAACACCTTACCTCTGGAAAGGTGAACTCACTCTCCCATATCCTCTTAGGAACCTACATTGTCATAGTTGCTGCTGGTTTCCAGTTCTTTTTCTTCTCTTAAGGCCAACTCCCAGCTATGACTCATCCCTTCTCTATATGGCATTGACCGTCTACCCTTCATTTCAACAAAAGTTGTCCATCAAGGCATACATGTGTCTAGCAGACTCCTAGGAAGGAGCATCGTATCATAAGAGTACACAAAACAAAAATGAATATTAGACATCAGAGTTCTCACAAAGACTCTTGGCCATGCTCATCAACTCATCATCAAGCTTCCCATTATGTTGCTTAATCTCTTCTTTCTCTCAGTCTTCAATGCTTTCAATAATTCACAGGAATTTTTTTTTTTTACTTTATTACATGGAGCAATTTCACTTTCCCTGTCCCTGAGGTTGCAAATCAAAGATCACTAGGACTCTGCTATGGATAGGAAACCTCCAGAACTTCTCTTTCCTCTCTTCATTAATAGGCTCTTCTAGAGATGTGGTACTCAAATGTTTTGGTTTCAAGACTTGTGTATTCTTTTTAAAAATTACTATCCTCATTGCTCTAGAGCACATTTCTCAACATTGGAACTATGTATTGACATATGGGGCATGATCATTTTTTTCTTCTAAATAACATTTAGGACTCCAAAGAACTTTTAGACATGTGGGTTATATCCAGTGGTGTTCTAGCAAAAGTTTAGCAGCTGTTTCTCTGGAGGGCAAAGCCCTGAATTGTAGCATTTGCCAATTTTTACATTATAAATATGTCCACATATTTTGAGCTACCAATAGTGCTAACAATTTACTCACAAAATGTCTAAAAATTCAACAGTTAGCTCATCTGAGTTGGGCCCAGTATATTACTGGTTATATTTATCCATATTCACTATATTAGAAATAAATTAAAACTGAGACATTAAAATAAATTTATTAATTTAAAATAACTCTAGTAAACATTTTAATAAAAAGTAACTTTTTTAAAAAGAAAAAATTAGTGACAAGAATGGCATTGCTTTAATTTCTGCAAATCGCTTTAATGTCTGGATTAATAGGAAACAAGTGCATTCTCTGACTCTTTCTGCTCTGTTACCATGTGCTATGTTGACTGAAAGTATATGAAGAAAAATTAGATATTGGACAAGAGAGGAATATTTTAATAGTATTTTCAGATAACTGTGGGCATTCTTTGCTACAGTACCCAAACTCAACAAGTAGTGGTTTCTTAAGATTAACTACAGTGTGGAATCTGAAATCGTATCAATGACATATTTTATGCTCCCTTAAACTAAAATCCATGAAATCATCTTGTACTTTGAATGAATCTTTTATACATGCATGGTTTTTAACTCTTATAGACCCCTTGAAAGAGATTCAGGGACCCCTGGAGGTCCCTGCACCACATTTTGAGAAACCCTGTCCTAGGGAAGAGGAGCACAAAAAAGATGTATTTCCCTGCTGATATGAATTCTTGCACCTTTTCTCATTCTATTTCTGCTTCTTAGAAGGCAATAGCAGCTGTGGTTGGTGTGAGTTTCTGAATATATATATATATATATATATATATATATATATATGCACACACACATATAAGCACACATACATATATACACATACATATATATACATACATACATATTTATTTGTTTATTTATTTATTTTTCTGGTATGTTTGTTAAACAGGAAAGCCCTTCATGTACGTCAATGCCACAGACCTGGATGATCCAGCCACTCCCAATGGTCAGCTTTTTTATCAAATTGTTGTCCAGCTTCCCAACGTTGACAATGTCATGTACTTTCAGATCAACAACAAAACAGGAGCCATCTCACTAACCCGAGAAGGTATGTTAAGGGATGCCCTCTTAGGACTATCTCAGTCAGAAAGAGGGACTGAGGCCTGTCACTTTCAGAGACAACTCCTTTTCTCTTCTCCCCTACTTTCATAGGTGCTTGGGAATTGGATCCTGCTAAGAATCCTTCCTACAATCTGATGGTCTCAGTGAAAGACATGGGAGGCCAGAATGAGAATTCCTTCAGTGATACCGCATCTGTGGATATTACAGTGATGGAGAATATTTGGAAAGCACCAGAACCTGTGGAGGTGGTAGAAAACTCGACTGATCCTCACCCCATCAAAATCACGCAGGTAACAGCGAGAGCCTACTAGATAAATGGGCTCACTTTGAAGAAACCCATCCATATGGTCTTCACTGATACATTTATTAGGTGTGTTTTTGCATAGCATAATTATAAAGCAAATTAGATCACCTCTGGCCTCATGTCTCTGCACTTCACCATCCTGGGCAGAACACTTGAATTCAGATATGTAGTTGAGCTTTCAGAGAGTACTCTACTCATCCTTGCCTTAAAAGTAGAAAGCAGTGATATTTGTTGTTCCCTGTCAGTAGTGTGGGATGTGACTGCTTCACAATGGCTTGTATGGGGTATGCACATCATGTATTTGTGCATGGTTTGAGTTTGGGGTGCAAATATTTTTGCTTCTTATTCATTCTTGTGGGAAAACTCTTGACCCGATAGACTCATCCCATCAAGGGCTGAGAAACAGAGACAGGACTGGTCAAGGGTAAAAGAGTCATAGTAGGCAATCTCTCCTGTTGGAGCCTCCTACTCTTCCATCTCCTGTGTGTGCCTTGTTCCTCCATTCAAATGCTCCTCCTTCCCCACCTCCGTGGGTTCCCTGAGCCCCCTCCTACCTTAGTTCTGGAAGCCCATGCTAGATTCTACCCAGATCTGATCTTTTCTGGACGCTCAGGAGGTTCCTTGACATGAAAGCTGTGGATTAATGGGAAGTCCCTGGATTTGGAAGCAGATAGCCAGAATCATGTCCTTGTTCTATGACTTTAATGACTGATTATGAACAAGTCATTTAACTATTTTGAGCCCCAATTTCTCATCAATAAAATGGGAATAATAACCCCTCTGAGGGCTGTTGTGAAGATTCACTGAGGTGTATTTGTGAAAGTAGATAAAAGATGTTAATATTATGAAGAAGTACTAGTCTGTATTTCCCCTGAAATTTTTTTTTAAATGACACTATTGTTGTTAAGGGGCCCTGGAATGGCCTATCCCATCACATCTATTGTCTAATTCAAAGAGACCTTTTCTTTATTGAATGTTGAATTAATGAACTTCACCTTCAGAAAAATTTTTCTAAAAAAAAATTAGGGCAGCCCCTTCAGGTCTCCTCCCACTGTGGGAGATTTTCTGTCCTCTTAATAAATCCTACTTTCTCAAAAAAAAAAAAAAAAAAAAAAAAAAGAGAAAAAGAAAAAAGGATAAAAGAAATTAAAGCAAGAGTTATCCTGCTGTCCCAACTGAGAAGACATGTCTGCATTCATTGCCATGAGAATTTCAGATCTGGGGTTTAGACTAAAGTCTTCCTAGCTATTATTTAGCTTTTCACCATAGGGATTTGTAAGTGCTAAAAAGAACTCATACACTTAGTTGCTCTTGGGACTTTCAAAGAAAAGAAGTTCTGAGATGCCACACCCAACTTCTAGGCCTGGAGAAAGTGCTTTGGGTGTGTTCTGAAGCTCAGGAAGAAGAGAGGACAGAGCACAGCTCAAAAGAAAAGAATTCAGGCTGAATTTTTGGGACACAAGAGGAGATTGCTTTAGAACTAGAACTAAGAACATAATCTTTGGCATGGACAGTGAGTGACGCTTAAATAACTAATAAAAATTGTTTCCTGGACCTTCCCAGGTTGGTTTGAGAGAATGATTTACTGTGGAAATTTCAACTAGTTGTAGGACCTTGGGTAACTCACTTAAATTTTTTGTACCCTAATTTGATAAAATGGGGATAACTATAGTCTCTAGTTCATAGGACTGTTTGAAAATTAAATAACACATATAAATGTTCAGAGTTGTGTCTGGTGTGTGGTAAACCTGCAATAAATGCTAACATTTATATATCAGAGTCTGGGCTCTGTCTATATAGCAAGTAGACTGATCTTACTAGTGAGTTTATTTACGTTTTTTGCTAGGCTGTTTACAAAACAACCTTAGGCATTGGCAGTCATTCTTATCCCTGAGATTCTAAGACTAAATATTAGAGGAAGAATGTCCTTATTTATATATGATTTGTCTTACTTAAATAATAACATGGGGGACAATTTAAAGTGGCTTCTGTTACTCCTGTTTGTCTTCACTGGTGAGTTTTAGAAACTCATCAGACATCGTGGCATAGTCCTCAGATGATAAAGTAGATTTTGTTTCTTAAATTGATGTTTGATGGATAGAAGATTTCACAGGAAGACTCTAAAAGAAAACAACACACAACCCCTTTAGAGGGTTTGCAAAGAATTCCTTTAGAATAGAAAAATTCTCTGGTGTGCTTTTTTTGAACAATATAACTTGGTGGTTTTTAAAAAAAGACTAATTTTAGGTTGAAAACTTAAAAAATATAATTCAGTTGTTATAAGAAACCACAGACATACAAACAAGGTTGTGAAAAATTTCAAAGTGAGAACCAGAAAACTATATATTTCCTTTCCAGTTCTCTCCGATCAAATGTATCTTTTCTCACAAATCGCTTTGGGCCCACAGGTGCGGTGGAATGATCCAGGTGCACTTTATTTCTTAGTTGAAAAAGAGAAACTGCCAAGATTCCCATTTTCAATTGACAAGGAAGGAGATATTTATGTGACTCAGCCTTTGGACCGGGAAGAAAAAGATTCAGTGAGTAAAATGGGAAGAGTTTCACAGGCAACAGGACAAAGCCCTATGCCCATCTACAGTTGAGGGCAAAATTGGTTTTGCCTAAAACAAACAAACAAACAAACAAACAAACAAACAAAAAACTCAATTCCAGATCCCAGCATATTATTAGCTTTCAAAGACATGATAATTTCCCCACAGTTCTGCCCCATCTCATTTTTTCTTATTTTCTAGTTCTAAGTAAATTGCACATAACAGGGTAAATAAAAGAGAAATGAGGCGGCTATTTTCTCTGCCTTTTACAGGGGGTGGTGAGGGAACCTTGTCTTAACTCTGACCTTCGTGTTGCAGTATGTTTTTTATGCTGTTGCAAAGGATGAGCAAGGGAACCCACTTTCATACCCACTGGAAATTCATGTCAAGGTTGAAGACATTAATGATAATCCACCTTCATGTCCATCACCCATGACTGTATTTGAGGTCCAGGAGAATGAAATGCTGGGTAAGAAATACGAGCTGCTCAATGCTGTGTAACTGTTTCTCCTCAATAACTGTGGAATTCCTTTCTCCTCCCTGTTATGCAAAAGGAGAGGCAGGTAGACCTCATCAGGGTCAATGATCCATATCTAGTCCAGCACAGAGGTTGAATGTACCTCAGGAGTCAAAAAGGTACAGTATTTTAGATCTAACAATATAATTACCACCACCACTACTCACATTATTACTGCTGCTATCACCATTACCACTATCACTAGCACCATAACTACCTACACTAGTATAACCACCTACATTATGAAATATCTCATCTGCAAGATTTTCCCATAAATTATCTTATCTGACCTCTGATAAGTTCATTAAATGATAATCTCATCACATTTGCTAAATAAATAGACATATACACTCAAAGTCAGAAACCCTGCAGTAAATTAGCAACACCAGTGGAGGTTGACTTTGGATGCTTGAGCATCCCTCTCTGAGAAGCTGATAATAATAATTCAGGAGGTTAATAGGTGAATTTCAAGTTCTATCTATTTTTGTCCTTTTCGTATTGACTTGCTACTTTCTTTCACTGTGTCTCATAATAGCTTTAGTTTTATATAGGAACAACTGCTATAAGAGCGTTATGATTTCTGGAAATTTTATGACTTCCCTGGATTTGGGACAATCCTTGTCCATTTTCTCCTTGGTGTTGAGCTCATTGACTGAGCAGGTTGGCATTCCTTCAAGTTGTCACTTAACTCTTGCCACATAGGAAGAGTTAAATGACAGCTTGAGGGAATTTCAGTTACTTATAAGGAAGGATCTTCTCACAATGACAGTTATTTAGCAATGGAATATGTAATAATAACGAACAAACATTTGTGACATCACCCTTTTTGGAAATCTGGGATAGTCTGTGATGCTGAATAAAGCTGAAAAATCTCTGAAGACCTTTTTAGATGATACCCCTAATCTTTTTGCATTGGGTCATTTAGTGTATTCGTTATCTTTTGCTACATAACAAATCACCCCAAAACCTAACTTAAGACAACAAATATGTATTAGCTCACCATTTCTGTGAGTCAGAAATCTGGGTAGAGTTTAGCTGAGTTCCTCTAATTCAGAGTGAGAGAGAGAGAACCAGCAAGAAAGAACAAGTAAGATGGAAGTCACATGTGGTCTTTCTAGGACCTAATCTTGGAAGTGATTTTCTATCACTTTTGCCATATTCGATTTATTAGAAGCAAGTCACTAGACCCAGCCCACACTCAGAAGGAGGTGGCTATGAAAAAGCATGAATATTAGGAGACAGGAACAATTGGGAGTCATTTTAGAGGCTGCCGACCTCATTTGGAAAGAGGATAGTATTTGTTTTCCGAGAATGGTAAGGAAGTCATTGTTAGTGGAATAAATTAAGGGACTTAGCATGATTTGCTTCTCTATAAGTGAGAATTTATTTTGTAAAAATATTTCAGAGTCCTTAATGGAGCAGTTGTTCTTATAAATCAACTGAGCATATTCTATACATGTAGCCTGAAAGAGGTGCAAGACAATGCCCCCGCCCTGTGGGGGCTTGCATCTAGCTCAGCTGACAGGACTTGCATAGATGGAAGCCTTAACAACTCAAACCTTGGGAAACTATGGAATTATTCCTCAGCATATCTACATTCTCCTGTTTGGCATCTTGTTTTAGCCAGTATCTTGTGGAACTTGTGCCCCAAGTCTTAGCAATACCAACATTAATTCTTGAGTTCCACTTGAGATTAAGTCCTATGTATTCATACAGGAAATTTAGCCTCTTATAAAAGCCTCGCCTCTCTGAAATATTTCTGGATGTCCCCAAGTGATGCTGGATGTCCCCAAGTCAATTTGGACTGCCACTTGGTCCTGGTCTCTGTCACTCAGAGACATGGTGCTCCTTTCACTTCTGGCTCTTCTACAAAGTTCTCTGCTCCCACTGAGGGGCGTCCCCTCGTACCAGCAGTCCTCATTGTGCCTCTGACAGCTGGAAGTCCCTTGTGGAGTGAGAGAAGAACAGTGTCCTCAGGGTTGTGCTCAGTTGATGAGGAGAAAGATCCAAAGCAGGGCTGCTCAAATCCTAAAGGATCACAGAATTTAGCAAGATGCTCTTTCATCCCGACACATGGATGCTTTTCTTGCTAGAGCATACTCATGCCACAAAGGTCACTTGGTTGTGATGGATTCAGAAATAAGCAGCTGACACTGCACTAGATACATTTTCTTTTCTATTGTTCATGATGCTTCCCACACCCAGACCGTGAGGCACATCTATTATGTGTCCAGCTCCACGGTAAACATAACATAGATACTTCCCTTCTTGCCCCCACCCTCAATCAAAAAACCTTCTAAATTTCTATATAAGTCTGTGGATGCAGACTGATGTGGTGGAGGAATGTAAGCTAACTTCACAAATTGGATGAATTTGAGTTTTAGCTCCTACGTGTGATTCTTGCTGCATGTAAAGAAACCCACAATTTTCCCACTTCACAGAGTAAGATGATCTGGAACCTGTCAGAACCCATCCAGAGCAAGGTGGAGCACTGAGTCATAGCCACTGGCTTGTGGAACTCCCTGGTCCTAAAACACAGGAATGAAATATTTAGGGTCGTGAACTTCCACATGCAGTTATCTTTGGGGTGGAGTCAGGCGCCGCGATTTTTCTATAAAGTGTCTTACAAACAACACAGGGTTGGCTTCTCCTTGTTTAGTTATTACTGTTTGCCATGTTATTAGTGTCCTAGGGCTGCCATAACGAATCACCACACACTTGGTGGCTTAAAACAAAAGAAATGTATTCATAGTTCTGGAGGCCAGGAGCCTGACATCAAGTTGCCAAAAGGGCAGCGCTCCCTCCAGAGTCTCCAGGGGAGAATCTTCCCTTGTCTCTTCTGGCTTCTGTTGGCTCCTGGCGTTTCTTGGCTATTTGTGGCAGCCTCCTCCCTCATGTCATCACTTCCTCTGTGTGTGTCTCTGTGTCCTCCCTTCTTATATGAACACCTGTCACTGGATTTGGGGTCTTCCCTACATCCAGGATGATTTCATCTCAAGATCCTTAGCTAGTTAGTTACATCTTCTTTTCTTTTCTTTTTTTGAGTTGGGGTCTCACTCAGTCACCCAGGATGGAGGGCAGTTCCATGTCCACGGGTTACTGCAGCCTTGACCTCCTGGGCTCAGGTGATTCTCCTGCCTCAGCCTCCTGACTAGCTGGGACTTTAGGTATGTGCCACCATGCCCAGCTAATTTTTAAAAAAAAATTTTTGTAGAGTTGAGGTCTTGCTATGTCGCCTAGGCTGGTCTTGAACTCCCGGGCTCAAACAATCTTCTCGCTTCGGTTTCCCAAAGTGCTGGGATTCTGGATGTGAGCCACCATGACTGGCCATAACTAGTTACATTTTCAAGGACCTTTTTTTCAAATAAGGTCCCATGGTGAAGTTCCAGTAGACGTGAATTTGGGGTAGGGGTACTATTTGTTATGGCTGAATGTGTCTTCCCCAATTCATATGTTGAATTCCTAACCCTCTGTTATAGGCTGAATTCTGTCTTCCCCCTCCCCCAAATTCATATGGTGAAGTTCTAACCCCCAGTACCTCAGAATGTGACTGTGTTTGGAGATAAGGTTTTAAAAGAGGTAATTATGGTAAACTCTCCTCACAGTGAGTCCTAATCCTTATAATAAGAGGAAATTTGGTCACAGAGAGGTACAGAGTGAAGGTGCTATTAAGAAACGGGGAAGAAAAGACAGCCATCCACAAGCCAAGGAGAAAGACCAGAAGAAACTAACCCTGTTAACACCTTGAGCTCAGATTTCTGGCCTTCAGAACTGTGAGAAAATAAATTTCTGTTGTTTAGGCCACGCAGTCCATGATACTTTATGGCAGCCTTAGTTGACTACACTATTAAACCTATTACACCATAAAAAGGATTGGAAGAACCAAAATTAATCTGAGAGCCTTTGTCTGCTACCAATAGTTATATGCTATGTTTTCTAGAAACCTGCTTATCCAGTGAAACCATTTTGATAGATTACATGAGGCCTGTAATGATTGTTTTTCTTCCCTTTTCCATAGGTAGCAATATTGGGACCCTTACTGCCCATGACTTGGATAAAGAAAATACTCTTCACAGTTTTTTAGAGTACAGAATTGTGGAGCAAACCCCCAAACTTCCCACGGATGAAATCTTCTTGATCCAATTTGCTACGGGAATGATCCAGTTAGCCAAACGGTCCTTGAAGAGGCAAGAAAATCCTCAGTACAACTTAACAGTAGAAGTGTCTGATGAAGGCTAGTATTATACTTGCTGTCTTGAGTACAAATAATTCTTTTTCTTCTGGTTATAATTTGGTTAGGTTGCTCGAAGTACCGAGTACATGACAGAATGATGTCTTGTCCAAATTCTTTGCTTTCTTTGTGAAACACACACAACACAGAGACAGCTGTGTTACTTTGTAAAGTTGTTGGAGTTAGGGTTGCAGCTACAACAAAATTATTGTGTTAATCCAGGTCCTCTGAGAAGCAGATGCCGAAAGGAGATTAAATGTACACAAATTTTACTTGGGGTGGGGGGTGCCTGTGAGAAAAAATGGGGAGGAGCACAGAGAAGGCTGAGAGAGCCATTAGACCAGGATACAAACCTGACCCTGAAGGGAGGAGAGAGGGGAATGGAAGCCAGGTAGGAATGTCCTAGACATTCTCTGACAAGGCTGTCAGAGAGCCCAAAGTTGGCCATCAAAGGGTTCATAATCTCTGAGAATGAGCGTGTCTGAGCCTGGCTTCTTTGCTCAGTCACTGACTATGAGTGCCCTGTAGGAAGAAAGCCCTCAGCGCAGATGTAGTGATGAATTTCAGAGCACAGCAGTAGGTCCATCATCAGTTAATGTCCCTGGAATTGGAGGTCTGCCAGGTACATTCTGCAGACCATGATCATGAACAGGAAAATTAATTGTCTTTTCCAGTTCCTGTTTTCAGACTCAAAGGGCTCTACCTTATGAAAGTGGAGGAGAGATGCATCTTTTGGGAAACTGTCTTCTCCTGTTAGCTTCTAGTTGACCCTTTGACAAAATCAGACTTCCTTGTCCTTAGAGCAAGGTGTTCTTAATCTTTGCTGGGTCACAAGACTCTTGAAGAATCTGATGAAAACCATACATTCTCAATCAAATGCACATATTCTTTAACAAATGTGTACACACACACACACACACACATACACATACACTTATTCAGGGAGAAACTCATTTCTGGGGCAGTCAGACTCTAGAAGGTTAAGAATCCTTTGAGTTGACTAGCACTGAATCTTAGATACCAAATGGCTTAGTAACTGTTCTGGCTGCGAGGCACAGGTTACTGATGTAAACAGATACTGATGGAACTAGGGAGAAACCCGGGGTTAGCAGGTTCCAGATCAGAATATTTAAAACTTAGTAATTTGACAAATATTGAGGGCCTATTATTTGTCTAGCATTATGTTAAGGGGTAAAACAGAATTAAGTATAATAAATCACTGAGGAACTAACAAATTTACACGATTAGTTGTCTATTCTTTCAGCAAACAGTTACCTGTTTGAGGCACCATGCAAGGTCTTGGGGATGCAGAGATAAGTAAGACCCAGTATCTATCCTCAAGGAGCACTCATTCTGGTAGAGAAGGTGGATATGTGAATCAATAAGTAGCAAGGAGGCTGGGCGTGGGGGCTCAAACCTGTAATCCCAGCACTTTGAGAGGTCAAGGTGAGAGGACTGCCAGAGCCCACAGGTTCAAGACCAGCCTGGGCAACATATGATAAATCAAAAAAGTAGCTGGGCGTGGTAGCGTGTGCCTGTAGTTCCGGCTACTTGGAAGGTTGAGGCAGAAGGATTGCCTGAGCCCTGCAGGTTGATGCTGGGGTGGCTGTGAGCATGCCACTGTACTCCAGCCTGGGTGTCGGAGTAAGACTCAAACTCAAAAAAAAAAGTTGCAAGGAATTATACAAGGTAACCTGTGAAGGAAATGAGTGGTGAGTGACTGAGTGGAGGGAGAAAACAGGTATGACTTTCTGAAAGATATGTCCTTAAGCTGAGTTTTGAAGGGTGAACATGGCAGGTTACAAAATTACATAATTTTACCTAGGAGGAGGGCAGGTGGGGAACAGGTCTTTCTTCAGACCTCCCACCCATCACTTGGTGACCATATGGGTACAAGTGGGAAGCAGAGAACCCTCTCTCTGCATAAATTGCTTGTCAATTGCAAAATTATGGCTATGACTGTCATTTCACTTGCCAATTATTTTCTTGCAGATTTCTGATTTTAATGTACAATTTTCAGTGAAAATTTCTGTGATATATGACTTTGTTTTTCAGATTTCAAGACCCTCTGTTATGTGCAAATTAATGTTATTGATATCAATGATCAGATCCCCATCTTTGACAAATCGGATGTGAGTAGTTGTGACTATTTGTTTTTTTCTTTACTTTGTTCATATTATCTGACCCCTTCCTCTGGGATAAAGACACAGGCAATAGTTAGGAAAAATGCCAGACTTAACTGGTCAGTGCACCAGTAACAAATCAGAGACCATCTCCAGTGGAAATCTCCAGGGAACAATAACATTTACTCTTATAGTTGTCTGAGAATGTCTGTTTATAAATGTCTACCAATGGCTCATTTATTCCAAGGGCTGCTTAAAAGCTACAACCATACTCTTTGTCAAATTGAAAGGAGTTGAATGGTTACTTGTAGTTTGTTATTATATATTTTTGTGTATTGGAACACTAAATAAATTACCATTGGGTCTCAAACAAGCACTTTTAGTCAAAAATTTAATATTTGGAATATTAGCAATTTAAACTCATTTTGTAATTGTTGGGTAAGAGAAAGGGAGAAAAAAATGAATCTCTGGCTTGAGTCAAAGAAAAATGTGGAAGACATTTGTAGGAACTAGGAGAATTGGTCAGAAAGAAAAAAAAATATGTTTAGAACATCAAGAAATATGCAAATGACCATATTCTTGTCATTGATATAGGCTGCAGACTTGGTGATGGCTTTATCACTGCATCCCTTAAAAGAAATGTCTCTATTTATTGTGAAGGAGAGAGAAGCCCATTTCACTAGACTGTTATGACATGTTTGAAGTCAGTTATGAGGCAGCCTAGAGCCCTGTGATGATGTTCATAAATCAGAATAGGGACAAGACTATGACAAAGAAGATAATTGATTTATGAGGGGAGTTGGGGTGGGAGAGGTGTGACTGAATGTATCTTATATAATAGGCACTGAGGCTAAGCAAGTATACAACAAAGAACCCATTTCTTCTCAGCCTCCGTTTTCTTGGGTATTTTATCCTTTCCTAATGTTGTGATTTCCCTGCATTTCATCTTGACGGAGTTTATAATTTTTATGGTTTTCTTATGTATTTATTTACTTATTTATTTTTTAGTTGGAATCTAGGCTCAATGGCTCACTGCAGCCTTGACCACTGGGCTCAGGCAATCCTCCCACCTCAGCCTCCCAAGGAGCTGGGCCTATAGGCACATGCCACCATATCAGGCTTGCTTTTTGATTTTTTTGGTAGAAATGAGGTCTTGCTATGTTGCCTGGGCTGGTCTTGAGCTCCTGGGCTCAAGCAATTCTCCCACCTTGACCTCCCAAAGTGCTGGGATTATAGGCATGAGACACTGCACCCGGCCTGTGTTTTAGATTGAGGATAAGAATCTTGCTTTGGGGTCTCTGAGTTTCAATACAAATCTGGCTACAGAGAGTGATCTGGCTTCTTTTGTTACTATAGTTGTCTTTCCCGGACTCTACTTGTTACCCTCTTTAAGATCCCGATGCCAAAAGAGATGATCTGGGGGATCCTTAGAGGAGCTGGAGATGGTCTAGGCCAGTGTTTAAGAGCACAGGCTTTGGAGTTGGACAAACATGGGTTTGAATCCCAGTTCTGTGACTCACTAGCTGTGTGATCCTGGCCTCTCTAATCCTTTGTTCCTCTGTAAATGGACATGGTAATATAGCAGTTCAGCAGGGTGTTTTGTTGCTTATCTTTACTGAACACTTACTATGTGCCAGGCATTCAGGAGCTTTATATGCACTGGTCTCCCTCAATCCCCAAAGCAAACATGATGAAGTCTCTATTATTATTCTCTCCACTAGACAGATGATAAAACTGACACTTAAAGATGCATGATAACTTGCTTCATGCCACTCAACCTGTAAGCGGCAGGTCTAGGACTCATATTCAGGCCACTTGACTCCAAAGTTTTAGATTTTACCTCTACTCCTTGGTTTATTTAAGGATTAATTTAAATAATGTCTGTCAAGTGCCTGCTACATTATAGGTACTCAATACATTGTAGTATTTATTTACATCATTACTACTACAATAATAATGATAGTTATTAAACATTGAATAGGGGAGGAGGAATCCATTTTAGAATCCTAGCTGTAGCTCTCTGAGATGTTGTGTTCCTTGATACAGTGAATATTAGTTCATGAGTATGACTGATGTTCAAATCCATTGCAGCACCTTCACCCATAGGAAAACATGTCCCATAAATATTGATGGCAACTATGGCTTGTGTCCATTCTGAAGGCAAAAAGAAAAGCTTGTCCTTTGGCCATTATACTTGATGACAGTGGACATTCTCATTGTTTCCTTCTTGTTTTTTCTTTAGTATGGAAACCTGACTCTCGCTGAAGACACAGCCATTGGGACCATCATCTTGATCATTCAGGCAACCGACGCGGATGAGCCACTTACTGGGAGTTCTAAAATCATCTATCGTATTGTAGAGGGAGACAATGAGGAACGACTGGGAATTGACACAGATCTCCACACCAATGCCGGATATGTCACAATTAAAAAGGTAAATGGCCCAGTTAATAGAATTTGTCTTTTTTTGTGGATTAATTTACGAATGGCAGTGTGAAGATCTATAAGCAGGGGTGATGTATCAGCGATGGACTCTGGGAGCACTCCTAGTCATTCCCGTCCTCCCAAAAGACAGAAAGCCAGGATTCAAGTCCTAGATCTGTCACTAGCTGGTCAAGTAACTTTTACAGGGAGGTACCTGTTGTTGCATAAAATACAGGATTTTTTGTACAAGTAAATATACTTATTGTTCCATGCAATATTTGGGACACACCTATACTAACAAAGTATTTATTTATCTGAAATTCAAATTTAACTAGATGCATATTTTTATTTGCTGAATCTGGCAACCTTGTTGGGGGCTAGAGGAGTGGCACTCAGGCCTCACGTCCCTCTTTGCAAATGTGGGGATTTGACAGGATGATCCCATGGCCTTTAGACTGTGAACCCTTACTCGAACATGCCAGGCAGAGGCACCTCTTAAATAATGACTGGAAATTGGCAGGTCTCCTTTCAAGCTTTAATGGACATGTTTACTTTTTCATTCTCCTTTCCCTCTGCTTTACTTTCATTTTTTGTGGTATTGCTAAGCCCACTGGCTCTTATTCTGTCTCGCCCTCTGTAAGGACTAGGTAATCTGGAGCTAAAGTCCTAATTACCTCAGGCCCTGCTTCTTTGTATAGGATCTTCCCTCAACCTACTCCTGTCCCCTGCTATGTACACCTGAATCTTGACTATTTTCTCTGTTGCTGCTCCATCTGTGTTTAGTGCCTGTCAAGGGTTTACCAGATGACTCAGCTGGAAGCAGCACTCAATGTCATCCAATGCACTTAAAGCTAAAATACTTTCCTAGGGAGAGGGTAAAGCCTCCCTGTTAGAAAGGGTCAGAATTACAGCAAAAGAGAATCTACAAGTGTGGCTAACTATTAGGGTTTGCAGTGCACTGTCCTGGAGGCTGCAAGAGAAGGCTCTGGAAGACAGTTTTGAGCCAGAATAAAGGAAGGCTGAAAGTAGAGGCTAAAAATAAAAAGGTAGAATAATTTTACAGAAAGTACAGAGAAAAAAGTGCTAGTACCAAAGCAAGACTCTGAGATAGAGGATTCTGATTCCATTGTTAACGGTGTATTTCAGCTCTGACAAAGGGCCTCACTGGTTTTCTGTGGAGGGGTTGTATGTGGACCAACTCAAAGCTTTCGCTTTCTGTGTGAGTCTGACATCTGGAAAAGGCACCATTATAACTTCCACATCTGCTCCTGGCTGTCTACATGGAGAAAAAGGACCTCAGGAGGAAAGGACAGTTTTCAGAATTTGCAGGGAGCCAGGAAGCATGTTGGCATGATCCTTCTGTGGGGGATCAGGGTAGCTTTTTCCAGTCCTTTTCCAAGGGATTCAAACTCTCTAGGGATCTGAAGGAAGAAAGAGGCCTGTCTGTCTCAGCATGAATGACTTCCATTATGCCCGAATGGCTAACATACACTTTTAGAGAGATGTTGACAACATCAATAATTGGTGGGTGGGAGCTGTGGGTATCCTCCCACAACCTTGACATAGCCAGGCACAGTGGCTCATGCCTATAATCCCAGTACTTTTGGAGGCTGAGGTGAGAGAATCGTTTGAGCCCAGGAGTTCGAGGCCACCCTGGACAACATAGCAAGTCCCTCTCTCTATAACAAAAATAAATTAAAAAATAAGCCAGGCATAGTGGCATGTGCCTGTAGTCCCAGCTACTCAGGAGGCTGAGATGGAAAGGATCGCCTGAGCCCTGGAGATCGAGGCTGCAGTGAACCATGATCACACCACTGTACTTCAACCTGGGCAATAGAGTGAGACCCCGACTCAAAAAAAATTAATAAACGTCATGTATTCCTTGGTCACTGTGAAGAGAGTATAAGTATTTGGCCAGCCTGGCAGCTTATACCCTTCAGAGTTCCAGGGCTTCATTTCTGTCAAGTAGCACCTTCCCAGGGTTGGTTGGATGAATCCCCTTGGGATTATAGGTGTGAACCACTCTACCCGGCTGGATACACTACATTTTTAACCAAACTGAATATATCGAACACCACCCCTATTATCCAGAAAAATCTCTTTATAAGATCACTTTGCTAATGAACAAATCTAGTTCTGATTGAAATGGTGTTAACTGAAGAGCTGTAGTGGCTACCCCTGGAGTATGGACCACTAATTAGGATTTTTCAGATGCTGAGCAACAGCCTATACTCATGTGTGGATGTTTGGTTAGGAAACACCAAATGTTAGCCAACTGCCCTCTAGGATATAGAATAAAACTATAAAAAGTGTATGCATCCATACTGTTTTAACTGAAGCGTCTTAAATTAATGACAGACTCTATAAAGTGGGGGTTTTGTGTGTATGGCTCTGCCTTTTAAGTCTCTGCTTATGAGGCCATCAGGGGACATTCATGGTGTGAATAATTTTTAAGAGTTTAAATTTAAAAAAAAGATTTTAAATGTTTTAATCACAAGGATCTCAACAACAGTTCATCTGAATTACAAGTGTGCTAATCACGGTTAAATTTACCGAGGGACCCATACCTCATAACGGTAGTCTGTTTGCACATGCCCCCCTTAACATCTCACACTAACTCTGAGGGAAGCAGAAATTCAGACCCACAGCAAGGTACAGGCAGGCCTCCCAGCAATGATGTCAGAGCTGGGAACTTGACCCCGGGGTCTCTGAATCCTCTCAGAAAATGATTTCTGCCAGACCTGGTATTACCACTTACTAGTGTGAGGCCTTCACCAAATGACGTAACCTCTCAGACCTCAGTTTCCCAATCTGTAAAAATGGGGAAAATGGTAACACCTTTCTAGTGAGGATGTTGGTGAATTAAATGCGAAAATACCTACATAGCTCTTAACACAGTATCCAGCAGTTAGTAAGCGCAATCAATGTGTGGCATTACTTAGTTCTGATGAATTAGAGCTAGTATTCTGTCTGTGGACCAGTATGCATTCTTTTTTTGCCTGAGGGGACCTAACCTGCCTAATTCAACAGTAAATGGTGCTCACAGAGGACTGCTGTCTAGAAATCCGTAACTTTGACAAGTGCCCAAAGCAATGCTTTAGATTAAACAAGCAACAGAAATGCTGACCTGATCTTTATTTACTGCCGCCAGACTCTGGCCTGTTGTGTGGCAGATTATCATATTTTTGGGACCAAGCAGTGTCCTGAGCAGAAAGGCTCTTTCTTTTCTTACTTTTTTGAGTCAGAGTCTTATTCTATAGCTCAGGCTGGAGTGCAGTAGCATGATCACAGCTCACTGCAGCCTCGACCTCCTGGGCTTAGACAATCCTTCTGCCTCAACCTCCCGAATAACTGAGACTACAGGAACATGCCAGTACACTTGGCTAATTTTTTTATTTTTTGGTAGAGATAAGATCTCACTACGTTGCCAGAACTTCTGGGCTCAAGCAGTCCTCCTGCCTTTGCCTCCCTGAGTGCTGGGATTACAGACATGAGCCTCTGTGCCTGACCTGAAAACTTCCTTCTTTGAGCTCTGCCTGGCTCAGCAATAACTTTCTTGGGATCTGCTTTCTTGAAATGCAGGATTTTGCTTTGGTTTAATTTTTTTTTAATTTGCAAATTTTGTCACTTCTCCATCATGGCTAGTTCTTTTGAATTACCTATGTTTAACCAGCCTAAGCATCATCTGGAAAACGAATGCACATTTTTATCTCAACAAAAATATGAAATCTCCCCAGTCTCTATCCCTCTTTCCCGGTGCTTCATCTCTGCCTTCAGGTTGAACCTAAAACACAGGTCTGACCTTTCAGGCAGTCGTGTGCAAAAGAGAAATTGTGGCATGAGCAGGTCTTTCCAGCTTACTAGATGAATATGTCTCACTGGATGGCACTGAGGCCATCCCAAGAGGCTGTGACAGGTTTCTTGACTTGGCTTTGTAGGCAGTATCCCCCGATGTGAAAGACAATGCACATGGTTTGACAAAGTTGGTCCTTGGCTCAGCTCTGCTGACCAGAATTTGCTAACTTGGTATCTTTCATTTCTAATGTTTTTCCCTGAAAGAATTTGCTTGATGCTTTTCCACATATGGAAATGAAGCAGACAGACTGGTTAGTGGTAGACTTTTCCTTTTTTGTTGGTTCATTCATTCAGTAAGTGTTTGAGGAACACTGACACTATCTCGTAGCTAGTTTCCCTGCCTCAGTGTGGAGCACCTCAAATCCATCCCTCATGCAACTGCTTTTGGAGTTATCTTTCTAAAACACAGATCTGACCTTCTCAGTCTCCTCTGCCATCCCTTTCCACGCTCAGCCTCGTATGTTTTGTTCTGGTAACATAGGCTGCTTCTCATTGGCAGACAGACCATCTCATTGCTTTACCCCCTTGCCTCTGGGGGCCAAAGTGATGAATAAGAAAGTCAGGGAGGGAACCCTAAGCCTATTGGTGGTGAGGATGGATGAATCTGTCCTTCCTGAGCATACAGATGCTGTGTTGCCTACCTGAGCCTGGGCTTGGCTGGACTGACTGGAAACAGAGAGCCGTGTCCTCTGTCTACATCACAGGCTTGTTCTAGGGGTTGTTGGCTTCCTGCTTGGTCTACAAGGCTCTTATCTCAACTGGACATCACTGCCATTATCCCCTGAGATGGAAAGTGGTCCCTGGGAGTCTGAAGCTTCCACTGCTTGCCCCCACCCCCGTAGCCTCAGGGGAGGAGCCCTGATTGGACCACAGAGCAAAAGGTCATCGAGGGCCATGCACTGCTGACAGTGGATGCTTATTTCTATGAACAACTGCTCCTTCACATCTTAGCTGGCTTACAAAATCTTATATCCTGTGTAGTTGGACAAATGTCCATTACTTCTTGTGGCCTCTCTCAGATGACCCTGAGTTTTCATACACAGTTCTCTCTCTCCCATGAGAAAAATCATCCCATAGCACTTAGGAAATATAGATTGAGTCATGATGTCATGTGTGGTTGTACGGGCATGGAGGAAAGGGGTTTAGTGGAGGGTGGGCATGTTCTCCAGAACCTTTTCCACCAGAGCACTCAAGGACCAGGCCTTTCTTACCTTTGGATTTCCTGGCCAGCTCACCATGAAGACTACATGTCAGGGAAGAGACGAGAAGCAAAGATGAGTATAACATGATTCCTCCTCTCTCGGAGCTTACAGTCAGTGAGGATCTAAACCAGGTGAACAATTCGAAACCTGGGCTAGGCGCTTTGAGACTGAAGGGGCCATGGAGTTCGTCCATTTGAGGGTAGAAGATGAGGGGTCAGGAAGTTGACCCACAGAGGACAGCATCGACCGATTCCTGATGGAAGGGGATAATTTTTCAGATATTAGAGAAGGCAGGCTGAGCCAGTGCAATCATGCCTCCATTTTTCTTTTTATGAATGGATATTGCCATTTCTGTTTAGTGGGTGAGAAACAGACATTAAACTAAAGCTACAGAACTGATAGCTCATCCACAGGTCTTGGGTCCTCCAGGCCTAGAAAGTGAATAAAATGGTACAGCTTCCATAATCTGTAATATACCTTTTGGGCTTCACTTATTTCCTTCATATTTGGGGTGGGGGGGCATCCTTTAAGAATCTGATCAAAGCTGCATACCCTATCCCTAAAAAAATTCATATGCATGTATACACAATTAGATTTTGGTTCCCAGGGGTTCAGAGGCCCCCCATAAAGCCCTTTAATCCCAGTTAAGAAAAACCTGCCTTAGGGGTTGTTTTACTCTTCGCAGGTTTCTAGGATTAGAACTTTTCTCCCCATGGAATCATGGACTCTATGCTTTAAGAGGGGCCTTAAAAGTCATGTAGAATTAATTGTATGTGTAGAATAATTTATATGCTATTTAAGTTTTTGCTATGCGAACCTGTCACATGTTGTTTAAGCCTATGCTTGAAAGCCCCAAAGTTGGGAACTTTTTTTCAAGCAATTCTGTGCATGTTGAAATTCTTCCTCATGCTTAACCAAAATTGGTTTCTTTTTTTTTTTTTTGAGTTGGAGTCTCACTCTGTCGCCCAGACTGGAGTGCAGTGGCTGCTCCCGGCCACCGCAGCCTCGCCTGCTGGGCTCCGGCGATCCTTCAGCCTCAGCCTTCCAAGTAGCCGGAATTACAGGCATGCGCTACCACGCCCAGCTGATTTTTTGGTTTATTGTAAAGATGAGGTCTCACCGCCCAGGCGGGTCTCGAACCCGCGGGCTCAGGCAATCCACTCACCTCAGCCTCCCAAAGGCGCGGGATTACAGGCTGAGCCACCGAGCCCGGCTTCCAAAATTGGTTTCTTGACGTTCATTCCTGGTTCCATTTGGCATGGCCTGGAGCAAGAGTAGATCATCTATCATCTCCGCTCACCTCTCCCATCCTCCATGAGTTTCAAGTCTCTGATTTGGGGATTCAAGTTCTCAGTCCCCTGAGAAATCATTTTCCATGTAAAACGAAAATCTCTATGCAAGCACTTCCCAAGATGTCTTCTGAGAATTGTCTTGAGAGAATTAAAAAGTTTTTGCTGAATGAAGTAGCCCATTAATACATAAATTAGTAGCTAAATCAATTTGAGGAGTGCTCATTTAATTTCCTCTTCTAGGAGTGTCTCAGTGCACATTAGCATATTACAAGCTCTGATAAGTCATGAGATCAAGACTGCTTTGTGGCACTATTTTCATTCTGAGGTTTTTGCTGATACTGGATTGAGAACTGCTGCTCTGTATGAAAGGTTTTTTTTTTTGTAATTGACAAATACAAACTGTATAAACTTTTGGCATACAACATGTTTTGAATTATGTGTACATTATGAAATGGTTAAATAGAGCTAATTAACATGCATTACTTCATATACTTAATCATTTTTTTGTGATGAGAACAACTTAAAATCTACTCTCAGTGATTTTCAAGTATATACTATGTTGTTTTTAACTATACTTACCACCCTGTACAATGAATTCCTTAAACTTATTCCTTCTTTCCAATGTAAATTTTGTATGCTTTGACCCACATCTCCCAATCTCCTCACCCCCAGGCTCTGGTGGCCACTATTCTAATTTATGCTTCCATGAATTTAACTTTTTCAGATTCCATATATAAATGACTATGTGGTATTTTTCTTTCTGTAGCTTTCTGTATTTTTCTTTCTGATGTTATTTAACATAATATCCTCTGGGTTCATCCATGTTGTTGCAAATGACATATTTTTTTTCCTTTATGAGACTGAGTAGTATTCCATTGCGCGCACGTGTGTGTGTGTGTGTGTGTGTGTATCTCACATTTTGCTTATTCATTGTAGGACACTTAGGTAGTTTTCATAACTTGGCTATTGTGAATAATGATGCAGAGGACATAGACATACCTCTTTGACATAATAATTTTATATCCTTTGGATATATTCCCAGTTGTGGTGATGAGGATTTTTCAGGTCAGCCTGGGCTACAAGAGTGTCAGCTCAATGGGTCAGCCAGCCAAGCCCCAGACAGGGTCGTGGAGGGGCTGGTAAACCTAGCCCCACAAGTGTCAGCTCTAATGGGCTGGCAGGCCAAGCCCTGAGTGTTGCAACTGGGAGTGGGGGCAGGGGGGCTGGCCTAGTCCCCAGGGTGTTGGCTCTAACAGACTGACAAGCCAAGCCCTAAGAGTGTTGCTGGTTCAGTGGGCTGGCAAGCCTGGCCCTCTAGGGTGGCATGGCTTTTCAACTCTGATGATCTTCTGTAGTTCTTCAGGTTGTAGCTCTTCAGGGTTGAGGTTCTTGTCTAATGCCCAGGAAGAATGAGGGACATGGACAGACAAGATAGTGAGAAAGCAGGATTTATTGAGGACAGAAAGGTCCCACAGTGGGAGGGCCCTGAAGGGGTTGCCCATCTGGGGCCGAAAACCTGGTGCTTAAGCCCTAAGTCCAAGCCAATTGGATAACACTAGCTGTGAGCTGTTGCTGTTCTGATTGGTTGCTTTTCAATCCCAGCAGTGAGGACTTTAGCTCTAGCTTGAGAGGCTTGCGGGGAGCTTGTTTATCAATGCTGAGCTTGAGAGGCCTGCTGGGAGTTCACTACGTTGTTACCAGAGGACCCCACTGTCTGTCTGCCTAACCTTTTTCTATCTATCTCTTGTCTCAGTGGTATTGCTGGATCATATGGTAGTTCTATTTTTAATTTTTTGAGGATTTTCCATATTATTTTTCATGGTGGCTATTTTAATTTACATTCCCACCAACAATGTACAAGGGTCTCCTTTTCTCTACATCCTCACCAATTTTTGTTGTTGTTGTCTTTTTGACAATAGCCTAACAGGTGCTATCTTATTGTGGTTTTAATTTGTGTTTCCCCAATGATTAGCGATGTTGGGCATTTTTTCATATACCTGTCAGCTATTCATATGTCTTCTTTTGAGAAGAGTCTATTCTGGTCTTTTGCCTATTTTACAATCAGGTTATTTGGTTTCTTGCTACTGAGTTGTTTGCATTTTTTAATATAATTTGAATATTCACCCCTTATAAGATATGTAGTTACCAAATATTTTCAACCAATCTGTATGTTGTCTCTTCACCCTGTTAGCTGTTGTCTTTGCTGTGCAGAAGCTTAGTTAGATACAATCCCATTGGTCTATTTTTACTTTTGTTGTCTGTGATTTTGGGGTTACTTCTAAAAAATCATTGCTAAGACCAATGTCATGGGGCTTTTTATTCCATGTTTTCTTCTAGTGGTGTTACAATTTCAGGTCTTATTTTAAGTTTTTAATCTATTTTGAGTTGATTTTTATATATGGTGTGAGATAGGGTCTAATTTCATTTTCTTGCGTGTGAACATTCAGTTTTCCCAGCATCATTTATTGAATGTACGAGAGTTTAAAAAGCATAGGGAATGAATATTTTAAGAGAGCTAATCACCCCAAAATTAATTTTCTCTTTTTCTCCACTACACAGTCACTTGATTTTGAAACAGCAGCTGTTTCCAACATTGTAGTCAAAGCAGAAAATCCTGAGCCTCTGGTGTCTGGTGTAACATACAACGAAAGCTCTTTTGCCAAATTCACACTTATTGTGACAGACGTGAATGAAGCACCTCAATTTTCCCAACATACATTCCAAGCAAACGTCAGCGAGGATGTGGCTGTAGGCACTAAGCTGGGCCACGTGACTGCCAAGGATCCAGAAGGTCTTGACATAAGGTAAAGGAAAGCCATACTGGGCAGGCCTGGCCGTGTGCTGTAGCCACGCCCATTGGGGAGAAGGAGGAGCTGGGAGGAGTGGAGAGGCTGGCCTGCACTGATTTCAGGGCTGTCCCTGATGGAGCAGCCAGCAATGGGGAACTTGGCACGGGTTGAGGCAAGTGTCCATACCCTGCAGGGCATTCTGAGGGATGGCGGTTCATCAAAGGCTCAGGCAAGTGGGAAGCAGTGTCAGTTTCCATTCCAGCCCACTTGCTGCAGCTGGGAGCTGGTTGGTTTGGGAGGGGGGTTTCAACCCCCCAGAGAGCAGACAAGCGGGAGCCAAACCCTGTGTCCGAATCCGTTATGTGGGCTGGGGTTTGGGGAAGGGTTCTAGTCCCTAAGGTGTACAGGAGTTCTAGACAGTTTTGTTAGAAGCAAAAGCTCAACTGGATAGGTGAGGCCACCTTACAGGGTTAAGGGAATCTGCCGGTTGTAGGGTCATGGGTCCTTTAGCTCCCCAGACACTCTCATGAATTAAGAGAGTGAGAACTCATTCATTACCATGAGAACTGCACCAAGCCCTTCAAGAGGGATCTGCCACCATGGCCCCACCTCCAACATGGGTGATTCCATTTCAACATGAGATTTTCAGAAAGACCTCGCTATAAACTTCTCTTGGATTTAGCAAGGCCCCTCCCCTTGTGTTTACCACATTTTATTGGAATTTTCTGTTTATTGGAATTTTCTGTGTTGGTCTCTTCCACTGGCCTCAGAGCCCCTTTCTTGACCTCCTCCCTTTGTTCATTGCCTGATATTTCTCAGCACTCCCTGTGTTACCACAGCTACAAGTTTCTACCCATTTCATCCAGTATTTCCTCCACTGGGTTTCAAGTTTTATTAAAGGGGTGGTTTGCTAAGAGGTTTTAAAAGATATTTCTAGGTTGCTTTAATTTGTTACTTGATGTCCAGAAAAGATTAACTTTACCTCCCAGAGTTTGTGACAATATCTTCCCTAATAAAACAAGTACAAACACATCATAAGGATGAACAAATTCTTTTGGAGACATATGAAGTGTCACTAAGGCATTAATAATATGAGATAATGATACTTTATGTTGTAAGTAATATACCAATGATAATGCTGCTATAATAGTATGTTGATGCACAAACCATTTTCATATTGTAACTCAGGCTTTTTTTTTCTCTCTTTCTCTTTTCATTTTTATGAAGTTATTCACTGAGAGGTGACAAAAGAGGATGGCTTAGAATTGACCATGTCACTGGTGAGATCTTTAGTGTGGCTCCGCTGGACAGGGAAGCTGAAAGTCTATATCGGGTACAAGTGGTGGCCACTGAAGTAGGTAAGCAAAAAAAAAAAAAAAAAAAAAAAAAGAGAGAGAGAGAGACAGAGAAATTTCAGTGAATATATTGTAGTGGCCAAAAGTTCAATCCGAGAGACACCAAGAGCCAATTCCGGTGAAAGTTCAAGAGGGTCTTTATTTGCAAGCTCAAGCCTGGACCTCTGTTGACAACTGACGTAGCGGAGTACACCCAGAGGCCCTGACTTCCTTAAGCAGATACCTTTTATGCTTTTACACAAAGGGAGGAGGAGTTTGGGGGGGACTTTCCAGTCTTGTTACCATTTAATTGGGTAGTAACCTCTGGTGGTCAGCCCAATCGTGGAGGATTGGCTAGCTTGACTTGGGCTGACCTTGGCCCACTAGCTGGGGAAGTTGCAGAGACATTTGGAAACTTTAGGTGATTTTCTCCTGGCACCTGATTGGTTGTTGCTAAAGGGAAAGTGGGTTCAGAGAAGGGGTTGAAGCTTGAACTGGAGCTTTGCAGTTTTTCCCATAACTGAAACTTTAAACAGCTACAGGTTATGTTTTAAAGCAGAAAACTAAAATGGCTGTGCTATTGTCCACAAGCCGATTACATATTTATTGGGTTATAGCATGCTCTTAACCTAAGTTTATGGTATACTCTATTACGGTTCTCTCAATATCAGTTGAAATGAGAAGGAGGGTGAGAAGCTTGAGAGGGTCAAAGCACCAGAATATCACAACCTTAAAGAACGAGAAGGGCCCAAAAGTGTAGGGGAGTGCTCAGGCCTTCCTGGTTTTGTTAAAGATGAGAGCCACCTGTACCCCTGAGCAGGGCTTCTTCCAAGCAGAGTAGTTCCCAGAGGCTGGCTAGACGTCAGGGTTGCTGCTTACTCTGGTTTCTTGTAGGGGATACAGCCTCTTCTAGAAGATTCTTTATCCCTAGATAAGGAACTTCCAAAGTGGTTGTGGGCTTCTCCTGGGAGCTCACAGTGGAGTCAGATCACTACCCTATTGACCCAGGTCTCTATTTGCTCCATCAGCCCTAAATTGTAGTTCCTCAGGTCTCATCCTTTTTGAAGCAGAAAATGTTTTAGGCACTGTTCTCCACTTGATATATGTCTGAATCACCTGGGAGCCTGATCAGGATAGACACCAGGGGTCTAGTCCCTGGGGATTCTGATTCAATAGGTTTGGGTGAACCTGGGTGCCTATGTTTTGATGAAATAGGATGAACTCTTGAAAGAAAAGACTATTAGATAAGTCCAGGATGTTGACCCACCCCTCTATAATATTTTCATCCCATTTAGTTCAGTTGTGGTGATATATGTCGCCTGCTGGTTCTAAATGTGGCGTTCTAGAAAATTTTAAAAATTGAAATAAAAATAAACTCACAGGAATGGTATGTTTACCCAGTGATAAGGCTGGTCATTAAGACATTGAGTTTTGCCTGTCTTGCTCCCTGGCCATCTTGTCAGCTGCTCTTGGTTGGGGGCTGTCCCACACCTAAGGCAGGAAGATGGTGGCTGCAAAGAAGATGAAAAAGTTATTGGAGTCCATCAGCTCAAGGCTCCAACTCGTTATGAAAAGTGGAAAGTACGTACTAGGGTACAAACAGACTCTGAAGATGATCTGACAAGGCAAAGTAAAACTGGTCATCCTCACCAACAACTGCCAAGCTTTGAGGAAATCTAAAATAGAGTACTGTGCTATGTGGGCCAAAACTGGTGTCCATCACTACAGTGGCAACAATATTGAACTGGACATAGCATGCAGAAAATACTACAGAATATACACACTGGCTATCATTGATCCAGGTGATTCTGATATCATCAGAAACATACCAGAACAGATTGGTGAAAAGTAAACCATGCAAAATTGTTCTTTATAACAAAACTTGCCAGAGCTTGTTTTAAAAAGAAATCGAGTTTCTTTGTATTTAAGTAGAATTTTCAAATGTACACTAGGAATTTTGTTGATCCAAGGTTGAGCAGAGGCTTTAATTAGCTAGTAGGTTTATCTGCGTGGTTTTCCCGCCAAAAAAAGAATTATTGCAAAATAAATACCATTTGAGAAGAAACAAACAAACAAAAAAACCTTTCCAAATATGAAGCCCAGGGTTGGGACAGAGAAGGGAATTATAAAAATGGTCTCTGGGCCGGACTCGGTGGCTCAGCCTGTAATCCCAGCACTTTGGGAGGCCAAGGTGAGTGGATTGCCTGAGCCCGCAGGTTCGAGACCCACCTGGGCAACTTGGCGAGACCTTGTCCCTACAATAAATCAAAAATTAGCCAGGCGTGGTAGTGCACACCTATAGTTCCAGCTCTTTGGAAGGCTGAGGTGGAAGGGTCGCCAGAGCCCAGCAGGTCGAGGCTGTGGTGGCCGGGAGCATGCCACTGCACTCCAGTCTGGGTGACAGAGTGAGACTCCAACTCCAAAAAAAAAAAAAAAAGAAAAAAAGGTTCCTGCATGTGGAAAGATCAAGAAAAACAAAAGAACTTTAGAACTTCAGTCAAGTTAACCAAAGTGGGTAGAAACTTGAGCACAGTTGTATGTGAGCAAACAGACCTTCTGTCCCTTGCTTCAATTTAACATGTTCTACCATCACATTGTATACATTCAGCTCTTGATTTAAAAGCTCCCAGTTCATCAGCAGGCAGTTTCTGGCTGAGCCTTGATGCTGTGCACTCCTCTGGGCATACCATGGGGATCGACACTTCATTTTGGACGTGTCCTAAGGGTTTCTCACATTTTAGAAGTTTCACGAATCAAAACTAGGGTCTAAAACCCTGTTCTATTTTTAGTTGTTGGCACTGAAATGATGTAAATATATATAATGACTTCAAGCACATGGTGGCTTTTTCTCCCTTGGATAAGTGTAGTGATGGATATAGAAGACAGCTGAGAAGAAAAGCAAGAAAACAGAGTTTACTAGAAATGAAACAGGAGGAAGAAAACAAGGTTTACTAGAATTGAAGTAGGTCAGTGAGAAACTGTAGAAATGCTATCTGTGATTGGTGTCAGGGAGAAAATAATAAGAATTTGTGTTTACATTGTACATACTAAGCACTTAAGCATAGTGACTTACTCCTCATACAATGCTATGAGGTAGGTACGGTTATTGACCATGTTTTATGCAGAGAGAAACCAAGGCACCGAGAAATTAAGTGACTTGCCCAAGATCACACAGCTACTAACTGGTCCAAGTTGCAGAGTCAAAATTTTTCACCACAGTCGCATAGTAAATAACATTTGTGTGGCCCTTTACAGTTTTCTAAAACATTAACTTACATGTGAAATACTGACAAAGTCATATGTCTTACAGTTGAGGAAATGAAGTTTAGAACACTTGACTAACATGACTAAGGCAAAATAAAAAGCAAGTGAGGGTTGGGTACTAGAGTTAGAACTCTTAGGTTGAAAACCTATCACTTACTAGCTGTGTGACCTTGGGGAAATCACACAGCTTCTTAAAGACAGTTATCTCACCTGTAAATGTGTATCAGAGTTGTTAGTACATAGATCACTGTTATTTTTATCACTAAGACTTTTAAGCCAGTAACGAAACTAGGTCTTTGGTTCTAAAAGCTTGTCTTCTTTCTAGCACTTTGTTTACCTAAGAAACCAAGGATATCTTCCAATTAAATTTTATTTTAAAGAAAATAAAATTTTAATTTTATGTAGAAATTTAATCTTAAAGAAAATTACATTTTCTTAAAAAGAAAAATTTCTCCTTCCTTATTAGAGGGATAATGAATGAGCTGATGCCATGTTTCAACCATTCAATTTCGTAGGTGGATCCTCTTTGAGCTCTATGTCTCAGTTCCACCTGACCCTTACGGATGTGAATGACAACCCCCCACGGTTAGCCAAGGAGTACACAGGCCTCTTCTTCTGCCACCCCGTCAGTGCACCCGGAAGTCTCATTTTTGAGGCCACTGATGATGATCAGAAGCCATTTCGGGGTCACCACTTTACATTTTCCCTCGGCAGTGAAAACCTACAAAATGACTGGGAAGTTTCCAAAATCAATGGTGAGTTGTCAAAAGTACATAGAGAAAGACACTAATGAATGATGAAATTGGGTTTCATTCAACTTAGTGGCCTCACAGCAGTCAACCCAGCGCTTTCTTCCATGCTCCAGGAAGGAGGTTCATACTCTGGAAACTCACATAGGGGAGGTCTCCAGAGGAGACAATTCCCCAGGCATCGAAGGGAGGAAAGATTGTTACACACAGCACAGCATTCCCTTGATGTAGATGGTCAGTTGGATTATCTGAGCATCATTGCAGAATTCCTACTGATAGCTGAAAAATAGATTTTATAATAATTTTTTAAAACCTTATTGAAATATAATGACATATCATGATTGTATATACTCAAGGTATACACTTTTGTAAGAATTGATAAATACCATGGAACCCTCAGCATAATTAACACATTTGCAATCAGAAAATTTTTCACTTTCTTAATACTGACTGTGGGAGAAAATTTAAAAAATCTGAAGCTGGTTGTTGCAAACTTCTGTCATTAAGCACAAGTGAAATGGTCTTTTCTAAACTGTCACCTTTTTCACAGTACAGCTGAAAGTCGCAGATATATCTAGATACCACTCTGACTAGCATTCTGTACTTCATATTTTTATTTGGACTATAAACCAAATATATATTATTCAGAAACAGAATTTGGAATGATGTAAATTCATGTCAGCAATCGTGAATGAGTTAAGATAATGAACTTTTTCACCATCCCCAAAGATTTTTCTTGCCCTCTTGTAATCTCTCTTCCTACCATACCCTCTCCTGTCCATCCCCTCACCCCTGGCAACCACTGATCTGCTTTCTATCATTTTCAGTAATTTTATTTAAATAGAATAATACAGCGGGTACATGCTTTTCTTTTGTCTGGCTTCTTTCATTTAACAAAACTATTTTGAGATGTATCTGTCTTATGTGAGTCTATTCTTCAAACTTTTTTATTGAGGGGGCATACTCTGTTATATGACTATTTCATGATTTGTTATCCATTTACCTGTTGATTACACTTAGCTTGCTTCCGATTTTTGCTATTACAAATTAAGCTGCTATGAACATTTGTGAACAAGTATTTTGTAGGGACATATGCTTTCATTTTTCTTGGTTAAATACTGAGGCATGGAATGGCTGGTGTCATGTGGGAGGTATATGGTTAAGAAAATGTCAAAATGCTTTCCAAATTGTTCTTAACATTTTTCAGTCTCACCAGTCTATGGGAGTTCCAGTTGTTCATTCTCTCCAACACTTGCTATGCCTTGTCTTTCTAATTTTAGCCACTCTAGTGGGCATGGAGTAATATAACAGTCTTAATTTGTATTTGCTTAATGACTCACAATATCAAGCATCTTTTCATACTCTGATTTGCCATCCATAAATTTCCTTGGTGAAGTGACTGGTCAGATATTATATCCATTTAAAAAATCGGGCTGTTTGGCTTCTACTGTTGAATTGCAAGCATTTTAAAAATTATGATAGATAATGTGCTTTGTCAGATATATCTTTTATGAATATTTTCTCCCAGTTCCTGGCTTACATTTTCATTTTGCAACAGTGTCTTTTGAAGAGCAAATTTAAAAATTTTGATAATGTCTGATTTACTGATTTTTCTTGTATTATTTGTGATTCATGTGTGTGATGCTGAAGAAAGTTTCACTAAACTTAAGGTTACTAAAATTTTCTATGGTTTTTTTCTTTCCCCACGTTGTATAGGTTTAGTTTTTTACATTTAGCTCTATGATTCATTCAAGTTAATTTTTGTACAGGCATAACTCATTTCATTGCACTTTATTGTACTTTGCAGATCTTGCTTTTTTTGTTTTTTATAAATTGAAATTTTGTGACAACAAAATCGATTTGCACCATTTTTCCAACAGCATGTGCTTGCTCTGTGTCTCTATGTTGCATTTTGGGAATTCTTGCAATGTTTCAAACGTTTTAATTATTATATCTTTTATGGTGATCTGTGATCAGTGATGTCACTATTGTAATTATTTTGGGGTACCACAGACCATGCCCATAAGATGATAAACTGAATCTATCAATGTGGTGTGTGTTCTGACTGCTCCACCGACTGGCCGGTGTCTTATCTTTCTTCCTCTCTTTGGGCTTCCTATTCCCTTTGACACAACAATATTGAAATTAAGCCAATTAATAACCCCACAATGACCTCGAGGTACTCAAGTAAAAGGAAGAGTTGCACATCTCTAACTTTAAATAAAAAACTAGACATGATTCAGCTTAGTAAGGAGGACACATGGAAAGTCAAGACAGGCTGAAAGTTAGACCTCTTGCATCAAACAGCCAAGTTGTAAATACAAAAGAAAAGTTCTTGAAGGAAATTAAAAATGCTACTTCAGTGAATGCACAAATGATAAGAAAGCAAAACAGTTTTATTGCTGTTGAAGAAAGTTTGAGTGGTCTGGATAGAAGATTTAACCCAGTCACAATATTCTCTAATTTAGAGCAAAACCCTAACTCTCTTCAATTCTGTGAAGGCTGAGAGGGGTGAAAAAGTTGCAGAAGAAAATTTTTTAAAGGAGAGTAAAAATGCTACTTAATGAACACACCAATGATAAGAAAGCAAAATAGCCTCATGGCTGTTGATAAAAGTTTGAGTTGTCTGGATAGAAGATTTAAACCAGTCACCATATTCCCTTAAGCCAAAACCTAATTCAGAACAAAGCCCTCACTCTCTTCAATTCTGTGAAGGCCGAGAGAGATGAGGAAACTACAGAGGAAACGTCTGAAGCTAGCAGAGGCTGGTTCTTGAGGTTTAAGGAAAGAAACTGTCTCCATAACATAAAAGTTTAAGGTAAAACAGCAAGTGCTGATGGAGAAGCTGCACTTCAATGGAGGTGACTGCACTAAGCAACACATTTTCATTGTAGGTGAAATAGCCTTCTATTGAAAGAAAATGCCCTCTTGGACATCCATTGCTACAGAGGAGAAATCAGTATCTGGCTTCAAAGCTTCATAGGACAGGTTGACTCTTTTTAGGGGCTAATATACCTGGTGACTTTATTTTTTTTAATTAATTTTTTATTATTTATTTATTTATTTTTTAATTTTTTAAACACTTAAAAATTTTTTATTTTAAAGATGTGGGGTACAATTCAGGGTTAGGTATACAAATGTTCATTATGCAGGTACCCTTGTTCATGAGGTATGCCCTCCCTTCCCCCTGGCAGATTCCCCCCTGCCTTCCGGCAGTTTCCAACTATTGCCAATTCTTTTCTTATAGTATTATAATAATTGTTTGAGGTCCACTTATGGACATGTGGTACTCAGTTCTTTGTTTCTGTGATAGATCACTCAGTATTATAGATTTTAAGTCCATCCAAGTTGCTGTGAAGTTCATAATTTTGTCCTTTTTTATGGCTGCATAATATTCCATCATGTATATGTACCACATTTTTTTTAAACCAGTCCTCTTTTGCTGGGCAGCACAGTTGGTTCCATGTTTTTGCTATTGTGAACAATGCTGCAATAAACACGCATGTGCAGGTATCTTTTTCCATAGAGTGATTTGAGTTCCTCTGGGTATATTCCCAGTAGGGGGATTGCAGGGTCATACGGAAGATCAATTTTTAGATATTTTAGGAATTATCAAACTGTTTTCCACAGAGGTTGTACTAGTTTACACTCCCACCAACAGTGTAGAAGTGTTCCTTTTTCCCCACATCCTCTCCAGCATCTGATATTTTTGAGTTATTGATGATGGCCATCCTGACTGGAGTTAGGTGGTATCTCAGTGTGGTTTTAATTTGCATTTCTTTGATGACTGGTGAGGCTGAGCATTTTTTCATGTATCTGTTAGCCTCGGATGTCTTCTTTTGTGATGCGTATTCATATCTTTTGCCTACTTTGTAATGGGGATTTTTTTTTTTTTCCTAGCACGTTTGAGTTCCTTGTAGATCCTAGATGTTAGGCCTTTGTCAGATATACAGTTGGCAAATATTTTTTCCCAGTCTGTGGGAAAAAGGCTGTCTCCCTGCTCTCTTGATGGTTTCTTTGGCTTTGCAGAAGAAGCTTGTCAGTTTGATGAGGTCCCACTTGTCTATCTTATCTCTTATGGCTTGGGCACTTGGTTTTTTGATCAGGAATTGGTTGTCAGTTTCAATTTCCATAAGGAAAAAGTCTCCTGCATTGTCTAAGGTTCTTATGGTTTGAGGTTTTACGTTTAGGTCTTTGATCCATTTAGAGTTGATTTTTGTGTACAGTGATAGGTGAGGTCCTGTTTTAATCTTCTGCATGCGGTCAGTCAGTTTTGCCAGCACCATTTACTGAATATGTTCTCCTCTCCCCAGTGGTTGCAGGCTTTGTCAAAGATGAGTTGGTTGAGAAATTGAGGTTTTGCTTTTGGAATCTCTGTACTGTTCCATTGGTCTATATGCCTGTTCTTGTACCAATACTGCTGTTTTGATTAGCTAGTGACTTTAAATTGAAGCCAAAGCTCATTTGCCATTCCTAAAATACTAGAACCCTCAAGAATGATGCTAAATCATCTCTGCCCATGCTCTATAAATTGGTTTTGTATTTTATATATACATGGTTTGCCGAATATTTTAAGCTCACTGTTGAGACTTACTGCTCAGAAAAAAAAAAAAACCCTCTCAAAATATTGTTGGGAGTCCGCCACGGAGGCCCACCTGAACGTTAGGGATCAAGGTGGGCTGTGGACCTCGAGACCACTAGGATGCATTCGGGAACTGTTGACCCCATTCCCTCCTCCCTTTTTCATTTTAGCCAAAAGGATCTCTGCCTATCTAAGCTGAAGGCTCTGTGACTGTGACAGGCATGGCTCACTCTAGAAACTCATTGTTCCTGTTTTCCATGAACTGCGGTTTCGGCTTAGGTATTAGTTATAATTTAAACTCAAGTCACATTTGAGAGCCTTTAATATGGTACAAGCTTCTTTATAAGATTTAAAAGTATATTTGTAGAATTAGTATATACTTATGGAGAGCTGTTTTCAGCTTTCGATGGTATAGATGATTATC